AGGCTGGTAGAGGCCAGAGTGCCTTGTGTAGTTTACATTTTATAACATGGTGTCTGGGTATCAAAGTCCAAGTTTTCCAAATGGTTTTCTCCTGCTGCCTCTTCAAGTGGGAAGGTGGCTGCTGCGGCAACTTTAATACCAGTATTTGCGCGCGAGACTCGTGCTGCCACGTTTTAAATGAATTCATGAGTTCATTCTGGCTGATTGGAGCTGTGCCGCATCGGCCTGGGCGATTTGACACGTCGCCACCACAGCGCGTGCCGCACGTCCCGTTTCTCTGAAAGCTGGCGTCATTCTCTCCGGTGAACACAACAGCAATTCAGCTTTCGGCGTTTGGCCTGTTTCCCCATCTTCCATTGGCGATTCTTCAGCCGTTTGGAGGAAGGATCGGGTCGTTGTGTTTAACTGCAGCCGGGTTCCCAGCGTGAGTGCTCCACTCGTTCGTCACGTAGAGCACAGGTGAGCTCACCCTGTGAGGAAAGAAATGTATAAACACTGACCCGAGCAAATGGACTTTTTTTTCTTCCCAGCCACGTTCGCACAGGGAAATGGAGAATAAAAGTGCAAATTGAGGGAGACAGAAAAAAAAAAAGGTGTGTGACAAAGTGCACAGTTGGCAGTATATGAAATGGACCGAGGTCACCGGGTCCTGGATGGGAAATGGAAAACCCCGGCATGTGAGAGTGAGACTGTCATGGCACGGTATCGTTGAAGCAAATAAACGCGGGGAGATTCTTCCCAATCCAAACTAAGAGAAAATATCAGCAAGTATAACACAAAAGACAGCGATAAATAACAAACACAAGAGCACAGGGAGAAAGGCTGATGGGTAGATTACCTCTGGGTTCACCCCAGGAGCGCCTCTAGATCAAACTGTTGCTCTGACTTAGAGGTGTTGATGTGTGCGCTGGCTGTTTATTGAAGCCGGCACAGGTTGTGCTCTCGGAGATGAGCCGCAAGGAACAAGCAGCACAGAAAGAAAAAAAACACTCGCGGTGAACGGGGAGGCCCTGAAACCGTCATCCTAGCACACATAAAGAATCTTATGAACAAGTATCGTCTGTGGAATTAGCTCGATACAGTAGCGCGTCGAGGCATTCAAGTGTCTATGAGTCAATAGCTTCATTCAGCACCGTGCCCGCGCTGGGTTACCCAGCAATTCGGTGAATACAAATCCAAAATTGAATTGTTCCTCAGATGATGGAGCTGACTGCGAGAGCATGAGAAATGAGCATGGCTCAAAGAATTCTTATTCATATCTTATGAATGCTCTCCATTGACACGCTTGTCCCTGTTTATATTCAAACACAATAGAACCAGGAAAATTCCCTCAGTAGAATGTTTTATGAAATCTGCCTTTTTGGCAATGAAGCCGTTAGCGAGTTAGCTAGTCAGCGTTTTACTTGGCTAATGTGATGATTCATTTTTAAGGTGGATACAATCAGTTCTTTTATATTAGCTAACAGCATATTTAGTTATTTGGGGATTGAACAATTAGAAGCAGATGTAGTGGATTCATTTATGGTAACTTGGGGGCGGCACAACCGAAAAAGAAAGTAATGATAACCCTACACACTTATTAGTGTAATGCTGGTTAAAATAATGTATTTTTTGGGGAAAAAAATATTATAATATGATAGTATTATTATTAACTATATTAGCAAAGCATAAATAATACACTCAAATAAATCTTAATCAGTGGTGTGTTACTTTTTTTGTGATCCATCAGGTAGTCGATGCATTGGGTCTCTGCGTTCCTCCTCCGGGGGTTTCCTCGGCTCTTCAGTCTGTTTTTATGTGAGTTTTCTTTATGTCTCTCAGGTCCCCAGATTTTCATTAATAAATACAATTACAGAGCCGTGTCTCTGCTGATGGGGCTGCAGTGAAAAAGACACGGTTTCTCACAGAGGAGTTCTGCCGAGCTGGAGGCAAGGCAAGATTTTACAGCCTGAACAGCAAAACATCACTGTTTAATAAATTGCCTGAGATGGTGAAAACTTAGGGATTTAGGGACAGGAGCTTTCAAACTCCAAGCACTCAAAGAAAGTTCAGATGTTAACACACATGACTGTGTGCATTCGTGAAAGGATAACCAGACGTTGCTGTTGACCTCAATCCTGCAGGGCACTTTAACAACTTTCAGCTTGATATTTGGGTTTTAAGGCCAGAGGCGGCACTGTTTTCAGTCCAACTGTTCTCATCTTTGTCAGCCAGCAGCAGGCCGCTTTTTAGTAGGGCTATTTCCATTTTATCGGTTTATAAATACTTTAACTGCACCTTTTTTAGAAAAAGATACACATTTTACCCCAGATACATGTATTTAACGGGTCTACAACCTTTATTACGTATGTGTCGAATTGGCCTTTGATTCCTACCCGTTCCTGTTTAACAGAGACAAAACGCACCCTGAAACATGTTACTGAAACAAAAACGGTCAATGAATAAGTGCAAACGGTTATTGTTTTCTAATCCCGCTGTGCAGTGTAGCCTTGAGAAAACGCACAAAACGGCCCAAAAAGCCTCCCTAACCTGTTTCGATCCTGTGAGGAAAAAGAAAAGCGTTTCCATGCAGAGTTCCAGAAAACGGTCAGCAACGGCGAGCAGCACGGCATAAACAAAACTCAGGGAAAAGCCTCTCAGATCCCGATAAGAACGCTTCTTGGGATAGACACCCGGAGCGAGAGAGAGAATTCCTCATTGTCTGGGGGAATGGGAGACATTGTCCAATTCACAGGAGATTTATAGGTGGGAAATCAAACGGCGAAGCACATCAATTAGCCCAGGTTAGACCGCCGCAGGGACAGCGCGGTAATGCAAGGGGTGGAGACGTCTGAAACGATGTACTGCAATATGTGACGCTATTATTCTGTTAATTGCAACCGCTCTGGCTGAGATTTGATGTCTTATGATTGAATTTGAACATTTAACTGATTAATGGGTGGCTGGAGAAATTTACAGCCGTCATCTTCCAACAGCTTGTGGGAGTCACGAGCCTCAGTCCACCACTCAGCTCCCCGTGGTAAAATACCAAAGCTCCTATTCCTCCTGCACAACTCTATCATCTGCCAGGGAAAGCCTCTAAATCTTGTTATAAGCTCAGAGAGGATAGATAGGCACACCATTTAGGAACGCTGCATTGAAGCCCGCAGGATGTTATAGGAATTATTGCTGCCTTTTTTTTTTTTTTTTTGACTCCAGAAAAACAATCCCAACAACAAAACTGGTTTTAATTGTGGCGGGTTGTGTTTGTTGGGAAAGAAGGCGGCAGATACCGAGGGGAATGAGACGTGTGACCTTCGTCTCAAACGAGGCCAGTAACCTCCTCTTTCCACAAAAAAAAAAGCTCCTACATGTACTAGCCTGAAACGTTTTCAAAAATGGCTTATAAATCATAGGAGATGCATGTGCCTAACTATTCCGGTCCTGAATGATCTGCTTCTCTAAGTCATTGTGCCCGCTTCTTGAAAGAAAAGCGTGGCAAACGTGCTTAGGCTGAGCCCTCAGTCACAGGCCCGATGAGGGTTACTTTGAATGTCTTTCTCTCTCTACGATTTTACTATTTTATCGTCCAACAATTGAGAAATGACTTCTTGGGGGAGAGACAAGAGACAAAAGCATGTCTACTATACCAACAAACCATGGAGCGATCATATAGAGATGCATGCAGAATATGAAACAATGATGTTCTTTACATGGCATTTGTTTAATCAATATGATGCTGTTCTAGTTTGGGACTATCAGGACACGGCATGCAGTGTTTTTGATTTACGGCTTGGCGATGCTGCCCTTCAGTGGCAGCTGACTAGAATCACTTTTTTATCCTGCAGATGAGTTGCAGGAATGAAACATATTGCGTGGAGTTGAAATAGACTTTGATGCAGTGCTAGAGCAAATCCCTAGAAATTTAGCAATACATTCTCACCTTCTTGCAGTAATCAACGTCCCGCCGGCAACAGTTCATGAGATGAAACGCTGATATTCTCATCCCCGGTTTTCTCCCTTATTTCCTCCTGCAATGTCAGGTGAACACCAGCGATTAGTCAGCGGGACAGCGTGAGCTCACATCATGACAGAGTATACCTCTCTCCGTAGGTCAAGTGCACTCAAATGTCAGGTTGTGTCCCGAAGAAATAAAGACAGATGTTCGGTGGCACTTGCCTGAAAACAAATCTAGGTTGGTGATCCATCAAGCCCCCCAAGTTTCAGCCGCGCTCCGTGCACTGGTTTCATCACCACAAGCTCAAGGGCGGACGGATCCACAGGCCGCCTCTGGTTGCAGGCCTCGCAGATCAAAGTGTCTACATGGGAAATGAACTAAATTCATTTTGACTTTGGATTCTGGAAATGCCACATTCAATCTGCTAAAAAGTGATGTCTTCCGCTGGCTTTTTGGTAACATTTGTGTCAAACTGAGCGACCTGTGTTTAGAGGATCAGACGGTGTTGTTGCACTGAGCTCATCCAGGCACGCTTATCTTACCGTTCAGCCTGTTTGGGTTTAAATGCAAAGAAATGTAATAAACCATGTGTATTCTGTACAAGATCATGTCTTTGATGATGCATGGCAATATTTACCGGGGTTCTGAATGGATCCTTGACACAGGACCACAACTGTGTGTGCCACCCACATCACAAAGCAAAGCACCAAACAAACAACCCATGGTAAATAGCACGTCCGGAGCCTAAAACACGAGTAAACAATGTACACTACATCAGTTGACAACCCGTTCCCATTCAAAATAAGTCACAGGAGAGGATCACTCACGAAATTAGACGTGGTGAAGTAAAAATGACACAACCCAAACAGATGCAGGGGGCAGAGGAGAAGATTCTCACGCCGTCACCTCGTCTCACAGGTGCTGCAGTTGCCCGTTTTGTCCGGCAGGTGTCACTCGACTACTGCACCTGGCGTGTTTCAAGCTTCCAACCTCTGGCCCGGTTTTTCGTCTGGGTCCTTTATTTTGTCGCCGACCAATCACACGGGAGGTGGGCGGGTCTTTGTCGTTACTACTACTACACGCAAAGTCTCGCAGAAGTTCGCGCTCGACCCGCTTACAGCTGCACCTTATGCGTCCTCACGTGAATGAGATGCCGAGGTAGAGAGCATCTGACTCGTGCTCCGACCGACGATGACACGCGACGGTTCACCCGCGGAGGACTTCGCGGACAAAGTGATGCTCCCGTGCACGTGCAACAAGAAGTGCAGGAGCCGGAGCGGCAGCGTGGTCTTCCTGGGATTATTCCTGCTGTCGCTGTCTCTGCACGCTGTCACGCTCGTCTGCTACTTGGACCTGCGGTCCGAGGTCAAAAGGGAAATTATCCACCAGAAGCGGGATACAATGTTGACATTTGCGGGCATCGACCCGGCCGACCCGGCGGCGGTGCTCGCGCCCGGGCAACCGCGACCGGACTCCGGCGTCGGCCGCGGCGGAGAGGGTCATGAGGTAAAAATTAAAAAAAATAAAAAAAATAAAAATAACTTTTATAATTTAATTTATATTTAATTAAATGAAACACACATCAAGTAATTTAATGCGACATTGTTTGCATTTCTCGCACGGGGGCTGGTCCTGTTCATTCACCTCGGTGCGGTCCTCCCGGTTCCCGGATCACGGTGTCAGGTTGTGTACCTGTGCTCTGTTGTGACATGTTTCTTATTTTACAGTAGCATGTCTAAAAAAAGTTAAGCCAGCTCATTTTCCAGACCAATAGGCTATGTTTTGAATCAGCGCTTCCCGGAAGGAAGGTAGACTGTCACCTGGCCGAAGTGTTATCCTGGTTAGGTAAACGCATCCAGGCAGGAAGTTGAAGAGGTGTGTGTGTGTGTGTGTGTGTGTGTGTGTGTGTGTGTGTGTGTGTGTGTGTGTAAATTTATATATATATATATATATATAATATATATATATATATGGGGCAAATTGTGCCTCTATTAAACAAGAAACTGCTCAAAAAAACACACCACATGTAACGCACTTGATCTTGTTTCCAGAGATCCCCCCCCAACAGGCAGAGGTTGATGCTCAGAGCTTATAGGCGGCAGTGCCCAGTTGGATCACACACACTGGTCAGTCAGCTTGGGCTGCAGCAGGTGGAAGGGAAAAAACGAACTGGGATCCCCAGCAGGGGCAAAAGCCCCAGGGGGCCGATAGAAATCATACGACCTATAGAGCCGGGCTGTGATTTGGATTCCTAGCCACCCCGCTCCAGAGTGTTTTTCTTTTTTTGGGCGGGGAGAAGATACAATATTCTTTGGGAGGTTTGGCGTTTTGAACACAGAAAAAGGAATCCCCCCCCCCCCCCCCCCCCCCTCCTCCCCACTCCCCTCTCTCCATCCCCGACCACCACACAGTGCCTAATTTCATCAGTACAAAGGGACCAAGCGTGGGTCTCAACTTTGCATTGCTTGCTCAATTAGCTCCCATGTCACCGGTTGTGTAACCTTTTTCTGTTTTCTTGCAGAGAAACTGATCCTCTGCGTGGGGCATTGGACCGGACGCTTAGTTGTGCACAAGCATCAGCTCGGAGGGCAGGGGCGTTTGTTTCTCCGTGGGGGGAAGATTACAGATTGCTGGTTACCGGTGTTTGCTCTGCAACCTCGTCCCCTCGGCGGGATGCTCAGCCCATTCGTTTAGCCGTCAATGTGTCCTTTCGCCAGGCATGTTTTAGTTTGGTTTCCCCAGTTGAGGCCGAGTGAAAATGGGCCCGGTATTCAAGCCAGATGGTGACGCTTCATGAGGCAAAAGACTGTGGCCCAGCTGTAAATATTTAACAGCGCTGTGATGCTGTCCTCGCCAGATGTCTGCATTAAACAACCCTGATTACACATCCCACAGTTTACATAGTTGGAGAAACAGGAGCATGTGGCATTTGGACGCAGCAGCCGCACTTGTTAGTTTCTCGGGCTTTTCCTTTGAAGAATGTCTTTTGTGGAGTTTGAAATTGTTTATTACATTTTTCACGCAAGTTTCCATCAAAGCAACTTCAGTGTGTCAGTGTGATTTGATGCGATGTGCAGGTATACAGACAAGTGTAAAAGACACACCACGTAGACAGAAACACAGACGGCATTATGCGCTTAGTCATTGTATACGTTATATAGTATCGATGGCCGACCTCGGATCGGATGTAAGTCACTCACTTTGTGGTTGAGTGAGAACAATAGCCTTGAACAGCAAATTGAGTGTGTGTTTTTCAGCTTTCAACCGGTCTGGTCAGTGTCGAACGTCAACCGTCTTATTTTGTTCTCGTGGCTTTGCGGGTCAATCAGGATGTAAACAACTTTTGCTCAGTTGAGATTGTAGCATTGAGGGTAAAGTAGTTTCTTTTTCTGGAAGAAAAGATGTGAGTGTTTTAAAAATATATTTTTTTCAGTGCCCTGTAACAAGACATATTGTGTCTCTTTGCATTAGGGAAAGTTGTTTTATTTTATCATAATAGTTTATGTGTATCCTTTTGATATTGTATTGTGCTTATATTAGACAATTTTGGATCGAAATGTTATCAATCCACAACTGATGTGAATGGCGGGATCATACCCGAGTGCCATAACGCCACTAATGTCAACAGATGTTGTGGTTGTGGAGTAATCCGAGGCAAATAAGTAAACGAAGGCAGTGTGTGCTGTCATACTCTCTTTGTAACAATATAACACAATTTGAGCCAGGTCTATGAGAGAGGTTTCTAAACCCTTAGAGAATTGCCTAGCAGTAACACTTTTTTTCACACGAAGGTAAGCAAAAAAAAAAGCAGATGAAGTTTGATGTAGAAATGCAAATCAAACGGGTGTAGCTTCTAAATGAGGCCAGATCATCTGGCCGCGTATGATCCGGGACAAGACAAACACAGTTCCAGTTGGTATGCCCTTGAGCAAGACAGTAAACCCCAGCTGTCCTGCAGACCTGCGAAGTTGCCAAAAGTAGAAAAAAAAAAAGAAAATGTAAAAAGCCCCTCTCGGGAGGTGTGTCTAGCTCTCAGGTCTGAAGCATGGGTGTAATGTGGGGCATTACTGAATAAGTGTTGCTCGCAGTCAGCCTGACCCTCCGTCACCTGACGTAAGTGAGTGACACGTCATAAAAGTCAACCCGTGGAATCTCTAATGGTGTCAGCTCTGATAGCGTTTTGTATTTCAGGCCGACATTTTTTCTAATAACCATTATATGAAATGATTTTCTCCTCTGATGTATTCCTTTAAAGTCTCACAGAGAACAGATGCTAAAACATCTGGACTCTAGTTAACGGCTATTAAAAAACAAAAAAGTCATTTTGATGGGACACAAAGTCCTCAGCAGCATTCGAGCTCTGGGGGCGCCGGGGTGGGCTGTCACCCACATCTACTCCAGATTGTGACCTGTGCAGGATTAGTTAAAACAGCAGTGTCATGCGTACGGATGGAGCGAGCCTCTGTTGCAGGATTTGTCATAAAATCACAAGGCAGAGGAGGTTTGAAACATCAGAGGTAGGAGGTCTCAAAAGGTTCCCACTTAAGGCTGAATCGTCCTGGTGGACGGATAGAGCAGACGGCCAGTAAAGTTCAGAGTCGAGAGTCACAAACCTCTAGTAGAATAATAAATTCTCTAAGCGTTGGCGGCATTCTGCCAGCAGTGTTGCAACAATCTGAGGTTTGATTGGCTGCTGACAGGCAACATTTCCCTTAGGTTGTTCTCCATTTTTCTTTTTTCTTTTTTAGATCACAATCTATGGACACTGTTATAAAATCTCCCAAGTTATGGTTTGGAACACTTGGCCTTCCAGAGAACCGTGTCTTGATATTGGCCGAGGAAGGAACACTCCTTTTTTTTTTTTTTTTTTTTTTGTTAATTTGAGGGGGAAAACGAGTTGTCTTACTCATCGGTTCGCATAGCTTTTTAAAAGTTTGCAAAGCTTGCACAGCGGCGGTGGGGCACCCAGTCTGCAGCATCTGGCGCCCACAGCCACCGGCTCCGAGTTTCACCTCCTCAACCCTGACTTCACTTTCTCAACCGCACTTTAGTCATTGAAGACTTTTCTTTTAAGAGGCCTTTCTGTAACCAGAAGGTTCTGGAAACAGTTTTGGTAAAAAAAAAGAAACGAAACAACACTTTTTTTTTTTTTTTTTTTTAGTTTCAAAAACTGCATGAAAATGTATCAATGTCTGTGGTGTGAGTGTGGAATTGTGTAGAGATACCGGGTGTTGTAATAATAAGTGCTAATAGGGCATTAAGAAGTCTTGTGATCACTAAATTACACATCCCCGGGGTGACTGAATTTTAGTCATATCCTCACGGAGCAACGGGGAATCGCGTCGTCTGCGCGCAACGGCCTCCCCCCCTCCTCTCCTCTCCTCTTCTCTCCCCCCTCCCACGCTTTGAAGATTTGAAAGCCCTCTAATTAATAGCATTTTTCCCTTGTGCAGAAGAAGAATGGTTTACTCAATAGTTGGCACTTGGCGTACATACCAACACGTTGTCATCCTGATTTACTGTAACCTTGCGTGCCTTTGAAGGGTATGGAGGCTGTGAATGTTGTAATGAAGTGAAATGAAGCGAGGGCCACTCCTCATAATAAAATGAATAACTTTCTTTTAAAGATCAGCTCAGCCTTCATGTGTAACGGCGGACGCAGCAGCAGTTGTGGTGGTAGCCTGGCCAGATTGCTTGTTTGGTTGTTGGTTGTTTTTTTTGTCGTTCTGCTCGTGCTTAATCCCGGGCCAGAAACTGGCTGTTGAATCGTGTTTGGCTGTCAGAACAGACGAAAGTGCGATGCCATATGCCTGAACATACACACAAGAGTCCTTTTGAGAGGTACGAGCCCCCTATGCGCCAACAGCTGCAGAGGAGATGTGGAGACACCTGTGCGCCAAATGAACGGCGAACGGCGCTGCTCATGAGAACATCTGGACGTCCGTGTGTGTGTCGATGAGCAACTCCAACACATCCTCCTCCATCGGGCTGGAATTCCCTCCCGCGTGTGAGGTCAGACGCGGTCGGCAGCTGGTCAGCAATGTAGACTTTTAACGACTTTAGACCCACGGCCAGCTGGGGGTGTTTGACATGATGCGGCGCATCCGTCAACATGAGGGAGTTTGGGCGGAGGACGGGGAGGGCAATCCCACATCTGAGACGAGGTACGGAAGAAACTCAAAACCCCGTCTGTCTTCTTCTGGTCTTCTGGGGGACTCAGAAAACCACACGAAGAGGCACTGGGAGTTCACGCCGCTCTGGCGAAGAAGGAGATTGCTTGCCATCGGGAGGGGGGGGTTTGGAGTAAACATAACTATGTTTATTTGAGCGTCACAGCTGGAAACGTGGAATATGTCATCTCCTGCCCCCGTGGAAAAAAAAAAAAGAGAGGTCAAACTGTCTGTCAGTAGGCCCGTCTGATTTATTCCCAGTAAGAATAAATGATACCGATAATGAGCGCTGTTTGTTTTTCTTTTGATCCGCGATAAGGGGGCTGCGCGTGTCGCTGCCTCGGAGACGACGGCTCTCCGAAACTCCAAGCGGCCTTCAGCAGCCGAGAGCTACAAGTGGATATTTCGGGGCTCGACGTAAAAGAAAGGGTCTCTGGGTGGTCTCGTCGTGTTTCAAATGTTGTCAAAACTGGGACACCCTCCGAAGACGTCCTCACAAAACTGTCCGTTTGTAAGAGAAAGCCACTTTGTAGCAACTCCTGAATCCTTAGCGCAAAGAAAACGTCTTTGTTGCGTCGAGCGTCCCGCCGAGTCCGTGTGAGTGTCGGTTGACCAGAGCCAGTCGCACAAGAGCACAGGCGTGCGGTTTGTCCCGCCACTCACTCGCCCATGGGAACACCCCACCACTCAGACCAGCCGCATCACATCCTTTTTCTTTTACTTTTACTTATTCAACCACCTCTGAATAGGGCCGAGACCAGGTGCCACATAAATAGGCATCGCGCTCACGTTGACCGCAATTCATCCTCCTTTTTGTATAACGAGGTGAATATACATATATATATATATATATATATATATATATATTGTGTCGAGGTGACAAGAAGCACAGACAGAAATGACTTGTGTTACAGCCCCGATTGGGACACACAATGACTGATGGCTGACAGTGTCTCACATCTTTTCAAATGGGTCTGTGCAAACATTATAGCCCGAGAATAGAAAAGACCACTTGCGCCTTGGGTTTCGCCTCTCAAATACTTGTATCACTCATTCCTTTTGTTTGCTTCATCTGAATTACTACACAGTGGTATTCATGTTCTGAGGAGCGTCTAGGTGCATAAAGCAAATAGCCCTCTTGAATTTCCTGCCACAAGACTTTTCCACGCTGAGTATTTTCCTTTTTCTTTGTTTGTTTGTTTTTTGCCAGGAGAAGTTACTACACAGAAATGGCGAGTTGCATGCCACACAGGATAACCGGGGCATAACTCAACGGGCGAAAAGAAGTCCCGGCAAGCAGCCAGAAACAGGTACGTTTGTTTAGATTCATCAGAATCGACCGCTACTGTCTTGTCCTCGCGCCTTGATACAGGATACACCTCATGCCGCTCTGTTGGTCACCCTCAAACTTCCAATTCATTTGCTTTCATGGCAAGAAAGAAACCCAAATCCTTGCTTTCTGGTGCACCTGCATCAGTCTATTTGCTGGATATGTTTTTCTGTTTTCTGTTTGTTTGGGGGGGGATTTGTTACGGTTTAAATAACTGTCGGTGGTTTCAAAACAGGTTTTTGGTGGCGTCTCACTTTTTGTGGAATTTGCTTTTTTATCGTTGTGTCAAAAATGGGCATGGGACTGATTATTGGGACTGATTATTACTTGAATAGAAAACATGGACTACTCGGAGTTCAGGAGGGTTCAGCTAATTTTTCAAACAAAAGCAAAGCCTGCGTTGATTTCCCCCGTCTCAAAATAATGTCAGCTCCCCAAAATATCTTCTGTGGCCGTCGAAGACGCAAAACTTGGACTTCCAAATCCAAGCGTGCTCTTAATCAAGAAAATATAATGACTTCATAGTACGTCCATTCGTTTTAAGGAACCAGGTGGGCCGTTCCTGAACAAGCTTATCATCCGAGGCTCCGATGGCTTTCATTAATTCCACCGAATTGATTTATCGTAATCAATGGCTATGCGGAAAACCACATGGCCAATGTGTCTGAATTAGCTTTTGTAGATTTTTGTTTAGAATGTGAGCTATGCAATAATAAAAAATAAAAAAAAGCAAAGCCTTTTGAAGTTTCATGTCTGAGTGGAACAAGTGCAGCATGATCACAAGGCATTCCAATGTCTGTGGCGTGACACTGAATACTTGGGCGGGTGATGGGGGGAGGAGGGGGATTTTAGTGATTGTGTTTAAATTAGAAGAAAAAACTCACCTTTGAGACTTTCTACATAAATCAGTAAAGTCCCGAGCCTCTAAACACTAATCATTCCCAGGTCTCTCCTCTGCTCTCAGTGCACAGACAAAAGCTTTTGTAATCTCGGCGTGTGTGTGCGTGTGTGTGTGCGTGCCCCTGCTTTTGCACATGTGTGCGTATGTGTGCACTCTGGGCACTCCTAACGGGCACCAGATCCCAGATAGGGCTGCTCGTTAAGAGAAATCTATGCGGATGCATCCAGTCATTTAGCCAGAGGAGAAACACTGGCCATATGTTTGAGGGGGACTCAAACTGTGAGGTTTTAAGGTTAAATGGCCTTTGTAGTTGTAATGACATGGTAAACACAAGAGCAGCGAGACGGCCCTTTTGAAAAGGATTCTTCAGCTGCGCACAGAGCGTAAACACGGACGGACGGACGGACACACACACTCACACACAGATACACACCAAGTGCATTTCGTCTCTCGAGCACTGACATAGATGCCCCATCAACATCCATTCATGAACACACGCAAACACACATGGCTGTAAAGGCGGGACGTGCACACACACACACACACGTGCACACACTTTCATCTGCATTCACCATCTGGGCTTAATTCAAAGAAAAGGATTTTGGCAGGATAAAGTATCTCTCTAATGATCTTCTCCAGTTCCACTGCCTGTGAATGCTTAAGGCACTTGTTCATACAGAGGAGGTGAAACCGCACTTACAAATTACTACACTAGAAGATACCACAGACTGACATACATCCAGTGTTCAATGCCGAACATTTGAATCTGTTATTTTGGCCCGTTTAGGATACCTGAGATGTTATTTGAGATGAAAATTGTTCAGGAGAACGTTTCAAGCTTAATCACACGTTTTTTTTTGTTTCTCACAGAATTGACTGGAAGGGAAAGAAGGAAAGAAAAGAAAAAAGGTAAGAAATATTTCTGACTTTTTTCTGGCTAGCTCGGAGAGGTCGTCCAAAAATACAACAACCACGTTGACAAAAAGCGTTTCCATATTTCACTCTGTCCGTCAGCCACATTGTTCCTGCCTTTAGATCATTTCTTAAAATATTTTCCGATTGGTATAAATAAAATTGACAGTCAAAAGATCTAATCGGTCATTTTAGTTTGCCAACCGCTTTGCTTTCGCTCTTCACAGGGAAAAAGCGGCCTGTGCCGGGCCCCCCCGGTCCTCCGGGTCCCCCCGGCCCACAGGGGCCACCGGGCATCCCTGGAATCCCGGGTATTCCGGGAAGCAACGCCGTGGGGCCTGCAGGCCCCCCCGGGCCCCCCGGGCCACAGGGACCCCCGGGCACTCCAGGTCCAGCAGGTATTAAAACTTATAGAAATAGAAAAACGGCGTGATCTCGTGGCGAGATAGCCGGAGGACCGGAGAACACCCACGAGTTCAGAGATTTGTTCTTAGATTACAGTATTTTCCCAAATGTCGACGCGTTCCCACACTAGAAGGAGGCTCGGGTTGTCGAAATCGATGAACTCACTCCCTTCACTGGGAGAGCGTCCGATGCAAGCTGTCAAACATGGTGTGGGAGAGCAGTGATCGTTCTTTCAAACTATTTCACCGTTTGTTTTGTTTTAGTCATCATCATCGTCTCCTTTGTTTCCCCAACAGTGTTGAAGGCCAGAAATTGATCATGTCTCTCTCCCTTATTGTTTCAGGGGTTCCCGATAAGACAAAAACAAAAGAATTCCAGGTAGAGCATGTCAGCTATTGAAGTAAAGTCTTACCACAGACACAAGCGCTGATAAAACAGCGGCTCCTTTGTTTAAATGTGTATCATGTGTTGCTCACCAGGGATCTTCTTTCTTTATTTTCTTTCAGCCTGCAGTGGTTCATTTGCAGGGTCAGGAGACGACCATCCAAGTGAGAGAAGGTGGGGCTTCCGTCCGCTCGGTCTCTTGTAGTTGCGCCGCTGTCTTTGACGCAAAGTCATTAACGTGTCAACACCCTTTGTCACAGAACCGGGCCTGCAACCGCTACACACGGACTTACACCACAACGAATGTATAACTTGTTGTGTTTTGGGATGTCGCTAACCATATTTACTTTACTAGGGTTGTGTATGATTTTGGTTAAGCGAAAGTAATCTTCTAGCTATTACACGATTAGTTCAGTAGGCTTGTATTTTAAATCAGATGTGTCAGACTTGGCCAGAGCTGAACCCTCGAATGTTAGCAAGTTGAAGTCATCCTGCATCATTTGTGTGTGTGTGTGAGAATCATGAGAAGGTTTATATATTCCGCCAGTGCTGAGCTCTGGTTGTAGTTAAACCCTGCTGAGAGCTGTTTTATGTTGACTGTGCGCCTCTTGTTTGTTTGTTGTTGCATGCTTAGATCTTTCTGAAGGCATCCTCAGGAACTGGAAGATGGTGTCCATCCATCACCGGGTGTTTAAAATGCACTCCCGCTCTGGAGAGCTAGAGGTGCTGCTGGACGGTGTCTACTTCATCTATAGTCAGGTAGAAGTGAGTACGGTCCTTGACGTAACTCTTATGATTTACAGTTCGGAGTGAAAAGACCTGGCAGCTTATCTGTAGCTAAGCGTAAAAACCTGTTCCATTGATCTACCCATCAATGTTTGACTTTTATTATGAGAATATTTTCACTCTCCCTAGGTGGACGTCTATAACTCAAACCCGTGTTCGCTACTCCGAAATTCCAGCTGTTCCAGTTTTTAAATAATCTCTTTAATATCGTGTGTGGATCTCTTTTGACTACCCCTCTTAGTCGGCTGTGAATTGTATGTCCTCGCCAGGTGTACTACCTCAACTTCACCGACATTGCCAGCTACGAGGTGATGGTGGATTCCAACCCGTTCCTCCGGTGCACCTGCAGCATCGAGACGGGCCAGCGCAAGTTCAACACGTGCTACACGGCCGGGGTCAGCCTGCTCCGCGCCGGCCAGAGGATCTCCATACGCATAGTGTATGAGGACACGCTCATCAGCATGACCAACCACACCACCTTCCTGGGAAGCGTCAGGCTTGGAGAGGCTCCATCTGCTGGACAAAACTGATAACTACACAACCACCGGGCCTCTACGTGAAATGCCCCCCCCCCCCTCCTTCCCACTCTGTTCAGAGGAAACTTAAATCCTCCCAGTAATTGACATTGAGGAAGCCCCCCCTCCCCCCACTTGGGGACTTTTGTCACCTTCACAGGTCTGCATTAAGAAGAAGTGTATAGTCCGCCCCACTTTATCCTCACGTTGACTCTGTGCAAAGAGATCAGCTGTGATGAGCCTAAAAAACAAAAAAAAGGGTTCTATTTCTAGTCACCATTTGGTGTCAACACAGACGACATCTCTCTTTATAACCAGAAAGGACACTGCGCTGACATATACTTAATATTTACATATTGTCAAGTGCTGCTGAATGATAATCTCGTATCGCCAAAAAACACCAGCTATTCCAAATGCTCTATTTGCAGTTTTTTATAGTTGGTCATTTTAATTCATTGAATTATATCAACAGGTATAAGTAAGTGGTTTAACATGCGCTTATTAGCACCATATGCCACTGGGTTATTAAAAAAAAGTTCAAAGCAAGTATAAAGGTATCTATGCAAGGCTGAGAAAAGAAACATTACAACTGGAGTTAAAGGTATTCACAGACCAACAGCACTATATATTTTGCACATATTTGCACTACAGCATCCCTGCAGAATATCAGAGATATGTTTTGTTACAGTGCTATTGTTTGGTCACCGTATGAATGAATCCATGTGGAAAAATGATAGTTGTTTATACGTCTCTGTACATATTGTATATAAAAAGGGATATACTTTTGTAAATGGAGTTGATTGATGGATTAAAATGTTTAATTTTCTGTCTAAATGCATTTGTCTGTCTTGTGTTTGTGTAGCTATGGTATTGATTTAAAGGGCTAAACGTGTCTCCTATTTTGGACACTGCTGGCACGGGTTTTGACAAGTGATGTTCTCTGTGGCCTTTGGCTCCATTAAAATGTTGCTTTTACTTTGCAAGTTTTACAACACACTTCAAATTTGGCTGTAATCTTTGTAGTATCTAAATTAGTTCCATCTTGAGAGGCAGAGAGAAGATGGTTCCTCATTTTGAAACTTTACATTTAGGTTTCCGGGGGTTAATCAGAGTGTGACCTCACCCATTTGAGTAACTTCAGGACATGCAGTCTGCGTCTTCCTTCTCACGATGCTTTACAGCGCCTTATTGTCACTTGCAGCATTTATGTTTTGTCTTAGTGTTTTCCTGGTGCACAGAGCCAGTGTTTTAGAAAATGATTTGCGCAAACTCCAAGGGGAAATAATTCTACAATTCAATCAGCCACGTTCTGAGGGAGTCAATGGGAAAATGGCCAAGATGTCTGAAAGAAGGGAGGTATGTCACTGATTATGGAGGATGTAGTCATCTTGGACATTGTACTACTGAGATTTATGCCATTAGTGAGTGTTCAGATAGCGCTGCAATAACACATTTTGTCCTAATGCTCTGTTTTCTCTAAGGACATAAAGCCAAGTACTTTCCCAAACAGTCTGAGTTCTCTGAAGGTTTCTTCCAGGAGAGTGAAACGGCAACAGGGCAGCTGCAGAGGTGAACTAAAAATGTGTCCATTAGTTACGGTCTAATCTTGTAGTGAGACCATAAACACTATATACTAAGTTAATTGAATTAAAGTATTATGTTTATTTCCTCCTCCTGCCAGCTCCAACATCATTCCTGCAGTTAACAGCTAACACTAACAAACAGCCAGACATAAAAGGTAAAACTGAATGCAAGTCTTTGGCTGTCGCAATGCACTTGAATGAAGTATGTCATGCTTTCTCCCATAGGAAATATAACCGTAATCCCTTGGACTGTTTCTGCGCAGCAAGGAAATGCAATTTCACAAAAGGAAAACAGAATTGTTGTCCAAGAAGATGGATATTACTTGGTGTTTGGACAAGTATGGGGTCACTCTTACGCATGACGAAAAATGATTTTGTTCCAACTGGTCAACTAATGTTCTGCTTCATTCACAGGTGTTGTTCAAAAGCCCAAGTACAGTCATGGGTCACATCATTCAAAGTTTGAGCTCCACTAGAACGGAGAGGACACCAACACAACTCTTGTGCTGCCTGCAGGAGATGCCCGATAAAACTCCAGCCAATACGTGTTACACTGCAGGTCAGTGAGGCGATGCTGCTGCCCGGCACTGCGGCCTTAAAGATATAGTCTTAACAATTTCAAAAAGTATACGCCCATTTGCTTTCTTTCCAATAGTTAGGTGAGATCATTGATCCCTCTCTCATGTCTAGATGGTGAATATACAGCTACAAACAGCAGGTGGTAAGCTTAGCTTAGCATAAAGCACAGCTAATTCTGGCTCTAAATTCCCCAAGGGACCCCTACGTAGCGTATTTGCTTACACAGAAACCTGAATGTAAAATTGAGCCATTGTTGGACGGCTGATTATGCGCCTTGATGGACTAGCTTTTGTCCAAAAGCAGTGATTATCTTGAGTGTTATCATCACCCTGAGGTTTTTTTCACACTTAAACTTAGTTTTTTCTGTACGTGACATACTATGTGCTAACTTTGTATGCTCTAGAGGTGCTAAGCTACGCTAGTTAGCTGCTGGCTGTAGCTTCAAGTTTGCTATTAGGGCGTAAGTGTGGTATCAATCTTCTCATTGAGCGCTGGGCAAAAAACTGCCTAAATGTTTCACAATTCCTTTAATTTAAGCGACCTCTCCACTAAATTTCCAAACACCGTGAGGGCATACCTTTTGTACATATGGTGTCCATCCCTCCAAACAGCTTCAGAGACTGTGCCCAGGAGCTCTAGACTTGGCCTCACTATGAAACTGTTTTTCTTTTTACTTGTCAGCCATCTGGTGTCTTGTCTGTTAATGCCTCTGTCTATCTATCCTCTGCTGCAGGTGTTGTGCAGCTGCTTCAGGATGATGAGCTTGAATTGGTGATCCCGTACAGGCCCCATTCCCTCATTTCTATGGACGCAGACTCCACGTTTTTCGGTGTCATACAGCTAAACTGAAACGAGACAGTAAGATGATGATAATCACGCAGCTTGTCGCTGCCGGATGTGAGAAACTGTTAACTGAGCCGTGTGAGGGGATACAGATACAGGGCAGAGGCACAGACAGCTGCAGGGAAACGTTGTTTTAATAAACTTCCTGTCTATTACTTTTAAAATCCTTTATCTTTAAGCATTGTGTTGGATATTTATATCAGGTACCCCACCCGAACCGTCCCCTTGCATTATATTTATGTGTGCTTCCACCTCCTTTCATCGGTCTATTTTAACATGTCTCTTTATACCTTTCTCCGCCTCCACTTCGTCTGTTTATTTGTTCCTCTCGTCTATTTTAGAATGGTTTCCGTTTACCGAAGACTATGTCAGGAACAAACAAAGGTACAAATTTATATCCTCCCGCTCGGGAGGGGGTTCCTGGTGGACACCAAATGCTTAACACTGTAGATACTAAAAGGTATCATGAAGACATTTAAGTTGTTATAAATGGAATAATAAGTATTCCATTTATAGTAGTACAAATAGTGGTACAAATAAATTGTCATATAGATTCATAAATCCTTTTGAAAGTATGAATCAGTATAAATGGCCTCATTAAACAGCAAAACATACTGTCTAAATACAGTTTTTTATCGAAAGTATTTAGATGCTTTTTTCTATAGAAAGAATATATATATATATACGATCAAGCCTTTGTGGCCTTTACTGCCTAAATATAGAATACGCTGTGCCTATCTGGTGTCCACAGCTGCATTCCCTCTCCCTTTTTTTATGAAGCATGACTATAAGAGGGTGTGTGTGTGTGTGTGTGTGTGCCAGTGTGTTTATGAGGTCAGGCAACAGTAGTAGTACAGTTGAGCAGCAGCAGAAGCAACAGAAGAGAGAGGATGGTCAGACATATGTTCCCTCATCTCCTGCTACTCTGGTCAATCAGCAATGACCTTTATATAACTGGACTGACGTATGACCTGCCAAAGGTATGCTCACGATTTATAATCAACATTTTTTGTACAATAACATTGCAAGTGTTTGATTGCCACGGTTCCCTCTCTGATTGGTTGTGATTATTGTTCCTCTCATTTCAAGGAGCACTCTTGGAGCAACCAGAACCTTTATTCGGTCCCTCTGGATTTGGACGTAAGGCTCAGGAGGCTAGACCTGTCCAACAACTTCATCAGACAGCTGCACCCGCTTGCTTTGCCCAACTTGCAACAGCTGGACCTGAGCTCCAACCAGCTCGACCTCATCTATGAGGGCGCTTTTGAAGAACTCGCTCAACTTGAGGAGTTGAATTTGTCCAGAAATTTGCTGAGCAAGGACATTGGCAATAACGGCAAAGCCCTTCAATCCATCATCAGATTGAAGAGTTTGGACATATCCATGAACGACTTGGGTGATGATGCAGTGGAACTGTATCTTCGAAACAAACCTTCTCTTGATCAACTTAAGATGACCGGTAATGCTTTGACAACACTTTCACCCAATTTGTTCAAAGAGAGTAAAGGTTTGAGGGCCATTACTATTGATGACAATCACATATCGGTGATAGAAGAGGGGACATTTGAACCTTTGAGACAATTAGAGCTGCTAAATTTGGCCAGAAATAACCTCGCACATATCTGTGATTTTAAATTACATCAAGTTAAATATCTGAACCTCAGTCGAAATTCAGTTGAGTTCTTTGTTACACGTGAAGATGACCAGTTGTACAGGCTTGAAATACTTGATCTAAGTCACAACAAACTCCTTTATTTCCCAATTGTTCCAAAAATGAACCGTTTGAAGTATCTGCATTTACAGAATAATTTGGTTGGTGCTTTAAATTCAGAGGTTGCAATGGTATCAGAGGCCAATGCTCTTTATAGTGAGATAATGAGCGAGAAAATTGTTAGAAAAAACAACTTGCACTCAAACTGGAGGCTGATGCCACTGATTTATATTGATCTCAGCTATAACCACTTCAGATCTTTCCCACTTGAGACTCTGAGCCTTCTTACATCATTGGAAACTCTGAATTTTAGTTTCAACTGTTTGCAAAACATTGCCTGGAATATAAGACATGATGATGAATCAGGAATCAGCAGGCAGCTTTTCTTTCCATCCTTAAAGTACCTTAACCTTCAGAGTAACGGACTTGCATTCATTTCTCCACTTTTTCTCAATGCGCTCACGCAAATAGAAACATTAAATCTACAAGACAATTCTGTGCAACCTTGCGCCTCCATTGACCGATCAACACAGCAGATACATCTCAACACCTCCTGTGTCGTCATTGGCCAGCTAAGGACTCTTAAACACCTCAATCTTAAGGAAAACAACATCAAAATGCTTCAACCGAACACATTTCTAAACACCGCTTTGGTTTCCTTGAACCTTGCAGGAAATTCCCATATGGTAGTCGGAAGGGATGCATTAGAGGGTGTGCAAGAGACTCTTCAGTCCTTGATCATCAGTGAAATGAACATGACCAGCTCTGATCTGTCTTTACCCTGCATGCCGGCGTTGACTCAGCTGAACATATCTGGCAACCGCCTCGATCTGCTACCAAGCAGTTTGAGCTGCTCCCCCCTGACAGAAGTAGACATTAGAAATAACCATTTTGAGTCTTTAAACGAATCTTTGATCCTTGATTTATCGGTGCGCCTTAATATTATGTACATAAGTGGAAATCATTTTAACTGTTGTGACAGTAGCTGGCTTCTAATCCTAGATGGGCTGAAGATGAAACTGCCTGATGCCAATGACGTGGTGTGCTTTACAATTGATAGAAGCATTGCAATGAGAGAGTATCTGAGAAACCCTTCAGGTTATTGTTTGTTTCATACAAAAGCACAGGAAATTAACTTTGGAACAATGATCGTGATTGTTTTATTTGTTACTGTTATATTGACAGTGCTCATCATATTCACCAGGAAGGTGTGTTGCACACAAATATCCTTTATAGTGTGATATGTTAAATCTGATATCGTTGGTTTATTTTGGACATTATTCCATCAATGCACATGGGTTACATTCAGTAGGCAAGTGAAATACATTAGTGAGAAACTGAATAGCAAACTAAAGTAACTTAAATTCCTTTGCGTTGAATGGCTTTCTTTTTTTTCATTGTTATTCTTGTAGAACATGCATCACGCTGTATAACTCTCAAGGTGTTTGGTTAAGATACGTGTGCCAAACCGTTAATCAAGTGGAGATGTTTTGGCCCATCCTTCATTGTGAAATGTTTGCAACCAATTAAATGTTTTGCCTTGGCTCAATTTTTTGTGACGTCTGTGAGGCCTTGCACAACATTCCCAGAATCAAAACTCCTGAACAATTCAATAAAACGGCAACAAAAGACAATATATTTCCCTTTCTGCATCTGTTTGTGTTTTATTGTCTATAATTGTCTCTGGCCTTGGTAATTAAATACAATTATGCTGTACATGTATAGCATAACAATGCTGTCTTGACAGTATTTTAGGGTCTAGTTGAGCACTTTTAAGGCTATGGCTAAGATAGGCTAAGATATCCCCTAGAGGGGCTACTGTCATTCAGTGCGGGGAGCATTCTCACTGAGATTAAGGCCCCTCTATGGAGCAGCCGTGGGCTGTAGTTGTTATGCACGTTTGAATATAAATATCTTTAAGAAAAAGAGGTTATACAAACAACACATGAATGATCTTTGAGTTTTACACCACACTGCTGATGCAGAGACAATGAGGTCGGATGATGTTTGGGGAGAAATGTGCAAAAACCTTATGACATGTTGCAGTGTAAAATGAATCAGAAATTCTAAGGATTTAATTACATTTTGTATTAGCTCAGGGTTCACTGGGGAGAAACTGCTGTTGCAGGAGGATATGCTGTTAAGCAATCCTCTTTTATTGAAAAGTGGTGCCATTTTGCAACTCTGACTTCCGCTTTGTCCACCCGGTACAGCCACGGCTGCGATGACAGCATGAGCATCAAAACCACCAGGTTCGGCTTGAGCTAAATAACTGAAGGAAATATCTTTGTTGCCACACCCACAAGATTTAGGTACTAGATCAAGTAGCAGCTTGACAAGTTCAAGCAAAGAGCACTGGAAGAAAAGAACACTGTGTGGATAGTATTAGGTGTAAATCCAAAGGAAAGCGAGTGGCAAATTACATTCATTCTTGTACTTCGTAGTTAAGGGTAGCTGGCATGTTGATATCAGCAGCAGCTTGTTTGTAGGCACATTGAGAAAGTATGAAAACTGTCACTGTTTTTTCTCTCTCCAACTGTAATTCCAGTAAACCACATCCTTACAAGTAAAGGATTGTCATTTGTTAGATCTGAGACGTGATGTGTCACTTAATAAGGATAATTTAATCTGACATTTTACCAAAAGTCACTGGAATGCCATTAATGTTGAACCTATCTTAAAATCTCAGTTGCTTTATCAGTTCTTCTGTTAACCCATCCCTTGACATCTCTGAGCATCTAGCCGTATGTTCTGCTCTCACAGCTGAGAGGACTCTATAACCTAATTCACAACTGGTCTACACTTTAGCTTGTTAGGATTCACTTACTGTTACTGTACTGTTAATTTATATTGCACACATTTCATTTAATTTAAGTTTTTTTCTTTTACAACCTGCTCAGTTTTGCACTTTTCCTCGTCACCTCATTTCTGCCTTATCCTTACCTGATTTTTTATTTTATGTACAGTTATGTAAATATGGTATTCTTATTATTATTTTAATTTTAATTTTAAAATTGGTTGGCTTTCCGGAAAGGCAAGTACAAGAATTTCAATACACATGATGTAAACAGTGTGTAAATGACAATAAAAAATCTTTGAATCTTTGAATTTTCCTTTTTTTTTGTGCTATTTATAGATCTGCTGACCTGGAATTGCAGCTGTGTTGATAAATGCATTGCACTCCTTTACCCATGTGGGCATGCTTTATGATTCAGAAATACTCATAATAATATTATTTACAATACACATGCTACTTATTTAAATTATTCATTTATCAGTTCAAGGTCAATTTGTTTCTCATTCTACCACATATAGCTGATGCTTCTTTATGCTCCATTTTTGTTGTTGTGTTGTGTCACAGCTTGAGGAAGGAAGTCGCTCTGTAGTCGGGGGGGTTCAGCAGTTGATACTTCCGTTTTTCTTTCCAGCAGAGTGAACATGCTAAGGTCTATTGGATTTGATTATCCTTTAAGCTCTTTGCAGGCATTTCTTCTCACTAATATCACTAAGTATTGATGGGTGCCAATGAAATTACTTTGAAATGAGAACAAAATTTACATCTTTTTTGTTTGTGTTCACAAACTAATACGTCAATTGTTCTTTTGTAATTTCAAATTTTTGTATCATGTAGCTGTATTTTTATTCTACTTTTCTAAATGTTAGCATCTCAGGAGGATTACAAATTTGAAAGCCGGGTGCTACATATGTTTCACAAAATCTTTCAATATAAATTAGTTTGAAAAACATAATTAAAACAGTATATATGAAATGTAGAACTTGTCATGAAAGCATTGGATTGGTAAATATGTTACGTTTACCAACAACAAGTCGGGCCGCCATTTTGGAAGTGAAGTCATTAGCACATAAAGTAACTCACTGTCACATGACTTCACCAGGTTAAAGTTCAAATCAAGGATAAAGCTATTTTAAGGAACCTTCCAGGCTTTGTTCAGTGTCTGTGTGAATGGTGTCGCCGTAGGTCGACTCTGTAATACAACCGTGTTGTTCATTTTTCCACCAGGATGGAGAACTGTGACGGCCGTGTCAGGTTGACTTAAAACTCGGCTTGTAATTCCTTGTTTACATTGGCCTCCGTGCTTGTTCCCGGCAGGCCTGTAATTCACACATCACCGCAGAGGTCCCCGAAAACGTTGCTCACCAGAATCCAGAATGAGCATTCTTTAGTGCGACCCTGCTCTGCAGTTCATCCAGTTCACGCTCCCTCCAAAGAACTATGCTGAACTAATGTCGGTTTATTGGTTTATTTGGTATCATATCGAATGCCATTGGCTTAACTTCCTTATAACACAGTGTCCTTGAACAAATTATATGTAAAAGTTTGACAACATGTTGAGATTATTTTGGCCCCAAAGCCTCTAGTTAATCATTCGCTTTACCAGATAAAACTCAGATTCTGACTGTCAACTATCTTCAAGTGCTACATTTAACATTTGAATAACCAGACCAGACTAAATAACCCGGTTTTACAGTCAAACTAGAGGCTTTCCTTTGTGAATTAGCACATAACGCTAAGCTATTGGTAATGAGCGTCAGATAGTTAACGTCCAGTTACACTTCAACAGGAGGAGCGAGGCCGCCCGCTCGTTCTCACGGTGAAACAATGGCGGCTGAGTGGTTCAGGAAGACCCCTTTCCTTCAAATCTGAAAAAGACCCCTCAGAGACTTGAGTAACTTGACAACGTCTTCAACGTGGCTGGTTAATGTCTTTCGCGGGCTAAAGGAGGAGCAGAGCGGGTTTGACCAATGACAACTTTAATGGCATTGTGAATCTATCTAGGATTAGTGACACGTTGAACTAAGCTAAGCTAACTGGCTAGCTGACAGCTAACTGGCGATAGCGGCCTGTCGGAGGCTCCACTCCGTCCCGGACGACCATGACTACTCCGCAGCCCCCCGCAGTCTCCCAGAGAGTGCAGCTAACTTTCAAGCTGTTTATGCTGGAAATTGCCCGGAATACACTCGAACAAGAACTTGTCGACCTCACCAAAAAGGTAAGTTAATGTTAGCACCTACATGTTCCATATTACCTGTATATTAAATTAATTGAGTCAATGTTAGCTAAGCTAAGTTAGCAGTTATATTAGTTATCTAACGCCAGCGCGGAAGCCACATGGTCAGACATTAAAGGTACTCTTAACTTTAACGTTATTTAATGTCAGTTGACTGAGATTGAGAAATTGATATGCAATAAAGTACTGATCAAAATTGCATGCGTGTGTTGCTAGTGTTACAATCAAAGCTTATGTCCAACTAATTGATTAACATTGTTATTGTTAGCTTAAATGTCTTTAACATGTTAATGTTAAATCAAGTTTTTTGTTTCTTTTTTACATTGCCAATTGATTACTAGAAATGTGTTAACTAATTTAAAAACTACTCCCTTTTTAACTTTATAATTCCACACATATGCCTAATGTTAGTCATATATACTTTTTCTGGCTTGTTCCACTTTCCCCTCAGGCCTATGAAGACGTTCAAGGTTTCTTGAATGCATCTATTCCCGCTGCTGGTGTGTTCTGTGATTTGGTTAAGGCTCTGGATAAAAAATGTGAAAACATTGACAAGGTCTGCGGGTCATTAAAACACCTCACAGTTGGTAAGTCCAGAAGTTGGTTCATGAGAGAGATTTTGAAGGGCCTTAAGTTTGAAATAATAAGTAATTACACAAATGAACACAATTATATTTTTCCTCCAATAGTTTGCTTGCAACATTTATTATTGTGTGTTTGACGTTCTCATTTGTAGACTGTATATCCTACATGTTGTATCGATTTATATTTCTAATGTATTATCACAGCTATATGTGATCCACATATCTGTAATTCACATCGCTATGATCTAAGCACAGTGGTCCCCCAACCTTTTTCGCCTCACAGACCGTTTTCCTGTTAGACAATATCCCGCAACTCGTTGGTTGTCGACTTCTGAGTAAGGGACTGATTTTCTTCCACAATCTTCTGTCTACAAGACACCAATCCAGCACTGCATAAATAAAATTGCTTGGTTCTTAACAGATGATCTACGCATGTAAAACAAATGGATACCTTTCTGGTTTCATATCATACATATGACCTCGCAGCCATCAGCATTACTCAAGTTTTTGGTGTGTAATTTAGGAAAATATTTTACTTTGACCTTTTGTTTAACCCCCCCTCTTCTCTGCTTTTGTCACCTTTTACAGAGACACCTGAATCAATAACCCAAGCTGAAGACAAAGAACATTCAGTAATTTCTGAGGAGAAACTCCCTTCAGATGCTGCAATTCTTGCATCTGCAATTATTGAGAGACCTGAGAATAACCCGGAGAGACCACCACCACCACTGCCTCCCATACAAGCTATACTCCCAGAGATCTGTAACACCATACCAATGAAACTAAAACAACTAATGATCTGGGGATGTGAGGAAGATGTCCAGGTGCAAGACCAAAAACAAACATCCTCTCAGCTGCTTCACTTCCTCAGAGCAAAAACTAAAAACATGGGTGCACTAGAGGCCACGGTCAAGAGCATGTGCGCTTCAAGTTTGCCACAGGGGCCTACTGTCAAAAAACAGGGCTACCAATTCAGACAAGTTGTGATAAATGCACTGGCTCCAAAAACATTATGTGCAGACATTGAGAACCAAGGCCCAGTTTTCCGGGTTAAGAGAGTGCAATTGAGTGGCTCTGTAACCTACACTTTGGTAATTGCAACAAAGACTGAATTATGGGATATTGGAGACATATTCACAGAGGTGGGACATGGGGAGTCTGAAGCTCATCGCTCTGATAACAAAGAGTGCCCAAATCAAACAGCTCAAGCGGACTCCAGTCTAAACATCCAGTTGAAGAGCCAAGCCCTCCAATGCACAGAACCTGAACATGTGAGCCGTGTGGCCGACGCAAAAGGACCAGCGGTTCACTGCATTCCCATTCCTGACTTCCAAATACGGAGGTTTGAAGAGACTGAAGTTGTGGTGTCTTGTATTGTGAGCCCGGGCCACTTCTACGTACAGCATGCAGATGCCGTGGTGACGCTGCAGGCCCTGTTCGCCGAGTAAGTCCTTCAGCAAAGGCTCTGATCTCTGCTCGCTTAGTCCCTGGTTCACATTAACAGAACGTATAGAGCCACTTCTCCCTTTTGGTTTGTTACTGCTTTCTTAGTAGATTTTTTTCTTTTTTTTTAATAATCCACATGTTTTCGGTTATCATTATTTCTTCTCATTTTGCAGCAGCTGCAACGCCAGTAGTTCACACGCCGAGCCAAGCTGCATTCCAGACATTGGAGCGAAAGTAATGGGTTGGTTCCCTAAGCAAGGACAATGGTGCAGGGTTCAGGTGACGAAGATCTGTGGAGTGAGTAGAGGTGCGTCCAGTTTTGTTCGTTGGAATGGTTTGGCTAATGCATACCTCTAGATGGTAGCAGTGTCACTTTGGCGTGTGGGAATTCCTTCATGTCCTTTTTTTTTTTTTTTTTTTTTTGGCTTCACCGTGCTGTGCTTGGTGTCTTTTGGTGTCAGACAATAATACCGCTGATGGTGCCGGGAGTGGGACATCCATCAAGTTGGAGGTGAAGAAGCTGGACTACGGGGACACCGCCTGCCTGTCCCTGTTGAACATCAAAGAGCTGACCCCAGAAATGGCCGTCCTTCCTCTGCAGGCTGTCAAGGTCTCGATGGAAAACGTAAGTGTGTCTCTACTCATGTTTGCATTTGAAAGTTAAATGCATAAGTCTGGTTCATTTGGAGGGCAAATAAATAGCTTTTGTCTAAAAGAAAACCTTTTTGCTCTTTTAATCAATTGTTAACTTGTCCCATTTGGTCCTGAAATTTGAAGTGATCGTCTCATTGCATTAGATTCATTGCTATTTATTGCTATTAATAAACTATTAGGAATATTTCCCAATATTATTTTTTTATGTTTAACGCCATCTTTGTGTGTGTGTGTGATGGAACATGGTCGCCTTTTTACTTAATACAGTTCCATGTTTTTATGTCACGCACATTATCAGTTCAATGTGGCTGTATTGCCTGACAGTTTCAGAGAAGATAATGTTGCCAAAGCATCTAAGTGATGTGAATATTAACACGTTAGAATATTGCAGATAATCTCTCTCAGATTTGCATGCGTGACAGTGGTTATAATACTATGCTTGGCGGTGAATGTGTAGAATCTGTTAAAGCATTGCCGTTTGACCACCTTATAAGTCACAGCCTTCTCTATTGGCCATAGAAATGTAATTGTCTCAGTATTTATTCATTTTGTCTCCACCCAGGTGACGCCTGTGAATGGGAGTGACTGGTCTGAGGAGGCAGTGGGCTGGTTCAAAGCAATAGTGCACAACAGAATGCTCTATGCCAGACTTTACCCGCAGGGGCCCACGGTTACAGTCGAGCTGTTCCTGGAAAAGGGAAAACTTGGAGCTATGAGGTACTTAATTAGGAAGCAATCAGTCAATTGTGAATAATACAATTTAGAATACCCAGCACGTTTGCCCTTTTGTTTCATTTGTTAGCTACTAACATTGTACAAAGAGGTTTTGTGACGTGGAAGATGTACACGGACTGAATATATATGCTTATGTTGGCCTTACAATGGGCATATACTTTACAGCACAACGCAATCTCTTAACGTTTCATTAATTTCATCCTTATTTCAGGAGGGGTGCGTCCCTGTCTTTGAGGCTGGCCCAGAACGGACACGCCAAACATAACAAACTGTGCAACATGGGTCTCGTGAAAATAAGTGAGTCTACTTCCAGTTTGCATTGTTTACATCTACAGTAGGTGACGCTGTCGCCTCTCTGACCAGAACCAAAATCATTTTCTCTCCAAATCAATCTTGTGTTCGGCTTTTTCAGGCGCAACTCAACAGAAAAAGAGACAACAGGAGTTGGAGTGGGAGAAGTACCTCATCTCGTGCTATATTCAAAGTAAGAAGTAATTCAGAGTAGCGAAGGTTTCTAGTTTTGTTTGGCAGCCAACAAACCGTATCAAATCTGAATAGTAATGGCGGATATTTAAATATATATGTGTGTAATGTAAATGCCCATTGTAATAAGGCTGAACGCACTGATTGGACTGGCACACAATAAGTAACTTGTATGTCTGGTGATTGTAGTGTAGTGTGTTGTAGTGAGTGTAAAGATAATGTTCTCTATAACATCATTGCAACTAAATAATATATGTCCAGTATTTATGGAACGTACATTCATGTTGATTGTTTTCCTTGAGGATTTGATAAATATTGGTTTTATTAATAACTTTTTTAGACTGCATGTAGGATGTGTGGGGACATGAACACCTAATAGTATTATTTAAACGTCTTATTTAGAACATTTTCCCTTTGTACTTAACACCTGGCATTTGCTACAAAACAGGAAGTGATCCTGAGGAACTGTATGTGATGCATACAGTAGGTCTGTTATTTCCTTCTCCTTTCACAATAATCATTGTTTGAGCTGTGTTGGTTTAGTTGATATTTCTGTGTTGTACAGTGGCGGCTGTATTATTATTATTTTGAATTAACATTGTAGCTCTCCTTTCATAATAAAACTGTACTCCACAAGCGCTTGCTGTCTCCGTATTGTAGATGAACGTGTCTTCCAGAGAGGGAATGTAAATGAGTTTTAGTTCATTCATAGAACTACCAGGCCACTCAAATCCTCCCACTGCATTTGTCATAAGTGATGCAGAGCAGCTCATTGCAAAGTGAGCTGCTGTAGACGATCAGAGTCCATCACACGTGACCACATTGTGTTTCCACTTGCAGTCTGTTGCTACTGTAAATCAATGTTTCTACTGTTATAGGCAGGAGTTTGAACACTACAAAATGTGCAATCTCAGTTGATCAAAAGACTTTTTTTTGTTCAAATGCTGTAGATTCGTCAAAGGCACATGTGTGTTGCGTAGCAGAAGGACATTTCCAACTATTGCTTAAAATGTGTTAAATCCACGGTCATGAGTCGGCATGCAAAATAAAATATTTGGAACAGCACCTAGCACACAGTATTTTTAAAGTTAATTTAGTTCCATGTTTATAATTGCAAACATTGCATTTTACATCATCGCAGCAATTATATTTGGCACATAGTTAAGTTGCAAAAATCCTCAAACAAATGCAAGTACTGGTGAAATAAAATGACGTTTATGAATGTCATTTTCTACTACATTGTATCTTCCCGTATGTATTTTCTGGGTGACTCCGTGCTCTGAATGTCAGTGACTCCGATCAAAAGCTTGCTTCACTTCTCTGCCCTGCCAAGCGCGAGGCCTTCGGTGTCCACGCAGATTCCTCCTCTTGCCCGGGGTAGGCGGAAATCGAGGCGTTTGAACTGAATTCTAAAGAGTCTTGTTGCAGCCTAATAAAGGCCGCCATTGTATGTAAATAGTTTATATAAGCGCATATGACTGCCCGGTGCAGGGCACTGGCTAGTGGCGGAGGAATGATTAGCATTTTCCAAAGGCATGCTTCTCCATCCAGCCTCCTGCCTCGCTGAAACCCCCTCCCAATATTTTAATTCATATCTTCTTGGTACACACTTTTGTGTACCACCACAGCTGAAGGTAAAATGTCCTCTCATTCAACCTGTTTTGTACTAACTGTCAGTATGCGATGAGGTAGTGTGTGTGTGTGTGTGATGCTGGTCACGCCGCATTGCCTCAACTATTGTCATTTATAATCACATCTTTTAAATGATTCAGCTTTTTTAACGTGACAGGTTTTTTATTCTGCTGGATTCTGTGGTCTTTCTGACAAACAATAGAGGTCTCTCACTTGTCTTAAGGGGGAAAAAAAACAAAAAAAATGCTTGTTCCTTGGAGATATTTGCTGGCAGTCTGTCAGTCTGTCTGTAACTGGGCTGTAGGTCAGTTTGGGAGTACGGTATTAATTCAGGGTGAGCCAATCACGTGGCGCAGACAGTCTTTGGCAATTGGCTTCGTCGCCGTTGCGTCTCGTGACCGCGGCCGTAGGCCATCACCCCTGCTCTTATACGGCCGACTTGCCGCTGGGAAACTTGCTTTTCTGTTGCTCCTCACTCTGCCAGCTTGATGCTCGGTACGCACCTCAAGATGGTCATCTTTGGACCCGGCGCTGCGAACGCCGCTGACACCGCCGGCTGAGCCTGGTAACCCTCCGTAAAGAATGAAGTTAGACTTTTTAACAAAATGACTCAATTGTTTTGGACCAAAGCAAAAAGGAAATTATTTACACAGATAATCCTTTGCTTCAATTAATACATTTTCTAAATTTTTTTAAGAATGTAGGTTATTTATCTTTTTCTCGAGATCTAGTTTTACCGGTTGTCTTTAAGCAAGAGATGTAGCTGAGCCTCCACCCGTGTAACCTACCCTGAAACGCGACCTCTATTCTTTGCAGAACTGGAGTCGAAAATGAACTGGGGGAGCTTTTACGCCGTGATCAGCGGCGTAAACAGGCATTCCACCGGCATCGGGCGCGTCTGGCTCTCCGTCATCTTCATCTTCCGCATCCTGGTCCTGGTGGTCGCTGCCGAGAGCGTCTGGGGAGACGAGAAGTCCGGCTTCGTCTGCAACACCCAGCAGCCCGGCTGCAACAGCGTCTGCTACGACCAGTTCTTCCCCATCTCGCACATCCGCCTGTGGGCGCTGCAGCTCATCCTGGTCTCCACCCCCGCCCTGCTGGTGGCCATGCACGTGGCCCACCGACGCCACGTTGACAAGAAGGTCCTGAAGAAGACGGGCCGCGGCGGGCCCAAGGAGCTGGAGCTCATCAAGAACCAGAAGTTCCAGATCACCGGAGCGCTGTGGTGGACGTACATGATCAGCATCGTCTTCAGGATCGTCTTGGAGGTGGCTTTTCTCTACATTTTCTACTTGATCTATCCGGGCTTCAAGATGGTGCGCTTGGTGAAGTGTGCGTCGTACCCGTGCCCCAACACGGTGGACTGCTTCGTCTCCAGACCGACAGAAAAGACCATATTCACTGTGTTCATGCTGGCGGTGTCCGGGCTGTGTGTGCTGCTCAACCTGGCCGAGGTGGCCTACCTCATATTCAGGGCCTGCAAGCGGTGCCTCCGAGGCTCCGAGGAAGAGTCCAAAGTCGCTTGGATAAGTGGAAGATTCTCCACTTATAAGCAAAATGAAATCAATCAGCTGATAGCGGAGCAGGCGCTCAAGTCTAAGTTCGCTGTGAGCAAAAAGAGCCCGACCGAGAAGGGAGAAAGGTGTTCGGCATTCTGAAGCTCGGGCCTCTTCTGTTGAACCAATCGCACACGTCCGTGGATCGCGTGGCTCTGCATTAATGTCCCATATTCTGTACAGGCACGTTTAAACCATCTATTTATGTATATCTGATATCATTCAGTCAGTGGCTTATTGAGTCATTGTTTGTTCTTCCCCTTGTTCGTGGTGTTAGTGATACGGGTGGAGGCAGCCGTGAAGGCAAAGGACCGAGTCCGTTTTAGACCGAGTCCACTTGGGCGTGTGTCGTTTTAGTGTTTTTCCCATTTGATCACAGCGTGAGAAGCAAACTATGGATTAGTTCTAATTCTACAGTCCTGAGTCCTGAACAGTTGTATTTAAAGCAAATATTGACTTAATATTGAAATATTTTAATTTTTTTTCTTGGCATGTAGTAGTACGTATCATTGACACCACAGAGATTACAGTACAGATTAAAGTGATGAATAGAAAGCAAACTTTTCATTTACATTAAATATTGTGGATATGTACCGTATTTCATTCCAGTCAAAGCAAAGAACTGGAAAGGGCCGTAACGTCAATAAATGCCACTGCGTTCCAGAAGCAGCCGGTAAAGCCAACAGAAGTCATATTTTAGTCGTCTTGGTTAATTGACTGCGATGCAGGTAGCTGCAGTATTGATTTCTTCCACAAGATTTTGAGAATTATTTGTTGAGGTCCGTATGTGCACGACAACATGGATGCAAAGAAACAGGAAGGAAATGTGTTCATTATACGATAACAAATTGGGACTGACTTTCCGATAACTGCACAGAATGGTACAAAAGTCCAAATTGGTTGATAACAATAAATAAATATGATGGTTCAGCTTTATGGAGTTTAGAAAATGGTGAATTACATGTCAAAATGTGAGCTCGGCTGAGTAAAGCAAGACTCTGAATTTGAAGTCTGTTTTGTCATGTTCGAAACATTTCCAGTGTCTGACGACCAATATTGTGAAATTGATAAATAGTGAGTCAGTAACACAGCAGCCACAAGAAACATTAAAATCCAACAATATTCTGAGACAATTACATTTTAGTCAATGCTTCAGTTGTAGCTAAATTATGTTTTAATGACTAAAAAAGCTCAAATAATCAAATATGACTTTAATCCAACTACAACAAGCAACTAAGTCTAAAATTACATTTGAAATTCTTGTCAACATTAGCACTACAGCTTTATTTATTATCCAACTTATCAAAGTGTGGAATTATTATAACACATGACAATTTTAAAACACTGTTCAGATAAGGACGGCTGCCATTGGATATCATTCTACAAAGAATGAAAACACAAAATCACTTTAAAAAAACAATTTGACACACACATGTTACACACTACTGACCTAAGAATTGTGTTAAGTGTAGTCAGAAAGGTTGTCAGAGAATAAATGATATTTCATTAAACTACGCATAATTTCAGTACTGTACAAATGTCTTTGTATTTAATTGTTCTGCCTACTTACTTCATTGCAGCTCGTGTTTAAGGTGACATATTTTTGTTTTTGAAAAAAGTATTATTAATATCATTCAGTTTCTCTCTGCTACTGAATGGCATGTCTAATACGCTGGTATCTGTTTATACAACTATTCTATACACACTATACATGGTAGTACATACAAAAACCCTGATGTTGATATTCATGCCGAAATGTACATATATGACTCCACACACAGGTAAACATTCCAGATGATGTAAAAACGATGTGTATATTATGTAATATACAGAAATAAAGTGCCTGATAATTTGACGGTTATTTAAGTTATAACATTGGAACTTGTTGCAATTTGTTGCTAAACGAGCAGCATAGAAAGATTTTCTACTCTAGTACTCGGATCCTGGGGCTCGTCTCTGGTGTGATGTGTTTGAATGAGAACTTCTCCCCCTCCTTTAGCTTCCTTGTAACTTGAGGATGCAGATGTCTACTCATCTCCAAATCATGCCCCCCTCCCCCCGCCCACCATGATAGGAGAGACCCTGGTGCTAAATTTAGACCACTTGTGGCCAGACGGCCTCAGAGGACACCATCATTGGCCAGCTGCCCTGTCAATCAGTGTCACAAGCGAGTGGAGGGCCTTCAACCGTTTACATTAAAGAGTGTACCCTGTGCCAAATTTAACCTTCGGGGGTGGTTAGGGGAGGGGGGGGGGGCTGGACATGGTTCAGCTGAGAGTGCGTCCGGCAGGTTACGTGTGTTGTGCTCAGTGGGAGACCCCGAGGCCTGGATCCTGACTCCTGCCGCAGCTGGATTTGGAAGCCGAAGACCGAATCGGGGGGGAGTTTGTCAGTGTGGAACAGAGGTTGTGGGCAGAAGAACTCCGCTTTTCCTCTCCATTCAAGGACATTGCTGGGGGGGGGTCGGCGGGGGCCCAAAGATCAGCTCCGCACTGAGGATTGTCGGCAGAGCAGGCGGCCTCATGGAGCCTAGAGGACGAGGCAGGCTTCCCTGCAGGGGATGCATAAGCTGACAAGGTGCGTTTATCCAGCATGCGGGATTCTTTGAGATGGTCTGTGAGGTGCAACCTCTGTGGTTTGAGGTACTTCAAGTACTACGGCATTTAAAGTTCAGACGCTTTACTTAGGTTGGATGTTGTGACCAAATGCTGCCGTTTATTTTGTTTTTTATAAGAAAACTGTTTTACGAGTCCATAATTATGTGTTCTTTTCTAAATGTGATCATATCATTACCCTTTATCATCAGGGATAACAGTCTGAGCGGTTTGATGTTAAAAGCATATATTTGTTTAAATTTGAAACCCAATACAACATAAATTCAGCAGTATTCAGAATCAACTTTCCCTCGCATCAGCATTCTGTGCTAAATGTCACAAGCAGAATATAAATATAAAATGATATATTCCTGGAGCTGATTGTTCAGATATGAATTGAACCCTCTCTGATTCACACTTCCTCCACCACTGTCCACTACTTGGGTTTTTGATTTCACCTTGTGTGTGGATCATGTTCCCTGAGCCGTGTCGCCCAGGAGCCACAGAATCATGACTGGGGCCTTCACCCCACCCCTCCTCCTGTCTGCACATGCCAAATATATATATATATATATACCCGCTTACAGTAACGATAATCCTGTCTGTGTCCACGTGGGAAAAAGAAACCTGCTGGGCAAACCTCCTCAGGGGAAGAGTTTAGCCCGAGTTCTGCTGACGTTTTAGAACATTTGTAGGTATCAGGAACACTGAAGCCACCTGGGCAAGTATTTTTTACCAACCACTTGTGTGTTCCTCCAGTCAAAGACCTGAGCTCACACAGCCATGGGCGACTGGAACCTGCTGGGAAAGCTTCTGGAAAAGGCCCAGGAGCACTCCACCGTGGTGGGGAAGGTGTGGCTCACCGTGCTGTTCATCTTCCGTATCCTGGTCCTCAGTGCCGCCACAGAGAAGGTGTGGGGCGACGAGCTGTCGGGCTTCACCTGCGACACGAAGCAGCCGGGCTGTGAGAACGTGTGCTACGACGTCACTTTCCCCATCTCTCACGTCCGGTTTTGGGTGCTGCAGATCATCTTCGTGTCCACGCCGACGCTGATCTACCTGGGGCACATCCTGCACCTGGTGCGGATGGAAGAAAAGGACCAGCAGAAAGAGCTCGCTCAGCATTCGGACAAGCAGGCCCTTGTTGCGGATGGTAAGCAGAAGAAAGCTCTGGTGAGGGACAATAAGGGTCGAGTGCGCCTGCAGGGGGAGCTCTTGCGTACATATGTGTTTAATGTGGTCTTCAAAACCCTGTTTGAAGTGGGTTTCATCGTGGCCCAGTACCTCTTGTACGGCTTCGAGCTGAAGCCCATGTACACGTGTGACAGACCGCCCTGCCCCAATGTGGTCAACTGCTACATTTCACGTCCCACGGAGAAAACCATCTTCATCATCTTCATGCTGGGAGTGGCTAGCGTGTCTCTGCTCCTCAACCTCGTAGAGATCTACCACCTGGGCTTCACCAAGTGTCGCCAGGGCATCACCTTCAGGCGACGCCATCGGTTCTCCAGGGGGCTCCCCAAGGAGCCCAGCGGGGCCGCGGTGCCGTACGCGCCGAGTTACGACGACTACTTCCACCAAGTCCAGCCGGCCTACCCGCCCGTACCCAGCTACGACCTCCACCCTCTGTCCGAGGGCACCGACCCGCCCTTCCACCCCTACCACAGCAAGGCGGCCTACAAGCAGAACTCTGACAACTTGGCGGTGGAAAGGAGCGGTGGCAAACCAGAGGAAAGTGACCCAAAGGGTAAAAAGGGAGCCGGGTTGGCCCCCGGGTCGCCCCCCGGGTCGGCCCCCGGGTCCCCTACGCAGGCCAGGCCAGGCCGCAGCGGCAAACACAGCAACAACAAGACTAGAATAGACGATCTTCAGATATGAGGAGGGGAGGTTTATGTTTCTTCGTGTTGTTCCGAGGCATTCGTACATGCTGGAATGACTCTCCTCTCTAAGATGGCAAACGCTTGACTCAGTCACACTCAGAGGGGTGTGACTGAGTCAAGCTGACGCTCAGAGGGCACACGGAGACGCTGCCGCATGGAAACGCATATCTACCGGGCTTGGGCTTCTTCAGAGAAGTTCTGATCCACCGAGTAGTGTCCCACGGCTGGCTTTTGTTTTGAAGGACTGGGTTGGATTTCACGTTAGAGCATTAATGGTATGCTGTACACATATATCATATCCATGTCTCCACTACTTACTATTGTCACCCTGGAAATAAAAATAAAATCAACAGGCTGCTCAGGTTTTATATGAACGTGCATGAACCTTCACTTTGAGCTTTGGGAGAAGAGTCCAGGACTGAAACTTCAGCTCTGGCTTGACAGGAAATCAGATAGGGCAAATAGCTAAATTTAACCTCCCTTTAACAGTTTTTGAGGTCACCATTCAGCATAGTTCACTTGCTTGGACTTGAAGAGAAACGTTGTGCAATACCTGACACCACATTGGACTCTGGGTGTACCGTACCCAATTCCGGGAGGTGCCTCAAAATAAATTGCACTGGTCTCAGGAGTTCTTTAGTGCCTCTTTTATATTGCGGCAGCCACAATTGAGCACACGATTCTAAGCACATGTTTTGTTAATCCTCGTTTGTATCTGCGTCTGGGCCGTTCGCTCTCTGTTAAGCATCTGGTGACAGCCATGTTTGTAAACTGGTTGAAATAAATCTGTCTTAAATTAAAAGTAAGCAATGTGTTAATAATCAAAGTAAAGTCTTCATCAGGACTGAACTGCCACTGTTGTTTCAATTTTTTTTTTAAACAAGACCACTTCAGGAGGAGAAACAATGAATGCATGCATATTGCAGCTCTGCCTGTAAATCTTTACTTTTCATTTTTGAAACACTGAATGTCTGAAATTAGAAACAACCCGGTGAGTCATCGGTATCCACCCACAAACATTTCGATCGGTTCAGAAGTGACGAGCATGAGCGGGAACAAACGTGCCGCGTTAAGACCTCGCTATCCGCACATACACACGTGCACAACTTACACGCGTGCACACTGGCAACCCGGGTACGGAAACCTTGACTTTAACGACATAGCATGCTGATGACGGAGGAGAGGTCTCATACCTTTTGATGAAGTATTCATCATACATCATTCATCATTTTTTTTCACTGCCTAAAGAAGAAGAAATATGTATTCTACTCAACTTGTATTGGAACTATGAGGTACAATTATTATTACTATTATTATCATTATTATGACATGGTGACAAATTAATTGATGTGAGTTATGAGTATGGTCCGATATCCAGCACTTTGAAATAATATCCTTTTAGTGGAAGGCCAGTTTTTGAAGTTGTAGTTGCATAAGAACATCGTAATATAAAGGTTTCTATTTTGGCTGAATCATGCAAAGTGTGTGATATATTAGTATTAGATGGCACAAGGTCATTTTTATGTAAAACTGCCATGATTTTGATGAGTGAAATTAATAACAGCATCCTCTCCTCTGGCACTCGACTATGATTAGTGAATTCAAAGCAGTTTGGTGGGAGAGTCTGTACATTATGTTTTCAATATATATTACCAGTGATTTCTTTGTATCATCACTGTGACTTTGAGAAACATTAAAACACCCACAATATGAAATAATGCTAGTTCAGACTTTTGAAATAGTCAGATTAAATTGTTTGATGAAATCATTTAAGATGCGGCCCCTGGTTCGACCTGTGATATGTTAATGAATTCATCATTTTCACAAAGCTACCAAATCACATTATATAATTAGCAAAATAGAGGAAAGTTATGGAAACACAAGAAAAATAAGTACGTATAGCCCGACGGAAAACATATTTATCTTACCATATTTAATTATACAGCCCCGCAGTTTGATCAAAAACTCTAATGCTCAAAAAAGATCACAATAGGTCATAATTCGTAAACAAGGAAAAATGTGCAAGATAGTTAATTATAGCATAATCAAGAGAAAGAAGATTAAAACATTTTTAAACTGCAAATTTTAACAATACATGGACAATAATTATATTCCGAAAGTGTTTTTTTTTCCAAATATTTTCTACAAAAAATATCAAATAAGCAATAAAGTCATTGTAATTATCTCCTCAAAAGCACCTGCGCCATGGGAAACAAGGACACAACGACTATGACAATAAAGCCACCTGCATAATGTTGGATATAAATGCCATTCCATAACTCATTTCTGTTAAGCTCCCTGCGCTGCGATGCTTTGCAGAATAGTTGGAGCACAGTCCTCTACTGCCCTCTCGCTCTACTTCTGCCTAAACACTCGGATGCTGCTCATCTGAGTGTCGTGTTTGCTGTGCTCGCCATCTGCTGGGCAAAGGATATCCACATCCTGCTGGATATTTGAGTAGATACAAGTGAACATATTCCTTCTGATGCATCTCTGTATGTGCGTCTACTAATATTCATTCACAGAAAGTGCTGAAGGTGGAATGCATTTTAGAAAAATCAAGGCTCACAGAATGAAATCATCAAAATGTTCAGGGACTTATGTGCACGTACTAATGCTCCTGTCGGCTCTCTGCGGCAACTTTTTTTTTTTTATCATGAAACGTGTGATAGATGACAAAGAGCCATAAGCGAAGCCCGCCCTTGTGCTGCTGCTGCAAGGGCGGGCTTTGGAAAAAATCTGCCGCAAGGCAAAACCGGGGCTCTGATGTTTGCTGACTGAATCAGTCTGAATGCTTGCAGGCCTGTCACCTCCTCACCAACACCAGCCGAGGCAAACTCACAGCCCAGTGCGCCGCCCCAGCAGCAGACTGAAAAACACAGTGTGTGAGCTGCACTGCGCAGCTTGATGAAAAGACACCCTAAGGAACAGAAATCAGACGCCAAAATGGCTTCTGAGGCCGTCACTTTGTCTCGCCGGTTCTTTATGTTCACATTATGTTGTCAGTGGGGAGCGATCGACTGTTGGCTGCCACCATGTGACGGCAGAAACTCTCCCCAGAAGTCAATAAGGTTTCAACAGACTTTATTCTCAATAAATTATATTGAGCGTGACAAAAATGAGTAAAATGGGAATTCTGCTTTCAAAGGGGATGTATTCAGGTAATCAATGAGTATAGGGGCAGTTTGTCATTGCATGTCGAGTAATGCTGTGGTGACGGATGAATTTGCTTTGGAGATGAACGCCATAAAAAAACGCGGCTTACAAATACTTTGTTCTCAATGGAAGCTTTGATTTAGACTCAGTTGAAGTCATAAAGTTGACATTATTCAGAAAAGTCTTAGTAATGTGTTGTATGATTTCTTTTAAAAGAGTCCCAAGTGGTCAGTTCCTTTGGAGTTGATAATCAGAGTGCTAAATTGAATGGGTTTTGTAGAGATGATACATGATGGTTTCAAACCTTTTCTACAGAAACAGCATTTGGACGTGTTTATTGGCATGTTCTATTGTTTTATTTATTCGTTAAATTTAATAATAAACAAAAGTAGCTAAGATAAAATAATATCACAGTATTTACATGTTTAACCTGGCTTCTGCCTCTATTTTACATTTACATTTAGCTGGACGGTCATATCACTAACATAAAATGACAACATAAAATACAATCTATGACTTAATAACAACGTGTTTCAAAGCATTATACTAGGAGTTTTACAAAAATAATATGTAATGTTTTTTCTATATATTCTACCATGACTCACAAATCTGACTGACAGCCTGCCGCAAGGCACGCAGAAGCAATGCATCATGGGGCAGTTGTAGCGAGGCAATGTCTCACACTGAGAAATGATTGCTAATCCACATAGCGTGCAGTGTGAACCCAAACCATTCTCGATTCATACGCCATTCCCTGTATAAATACTACTTCAGCAGGCAATTCATAACAAAGCCAGTACACTTTCTACGGCCTGCAAACTGGAAGACTTTTACGTATAATATCCCAACATAAACTCACTATGGATTTTCATTGCATAATATAAAAAGTGTCTTAAGACCTCATCGTTTTTTTTTTCTGCCTGGCTGTTTCTACAGGTTTGAACAAAGACATACTGCTTTCGGAAAAAGTGTAGAGTTCATGTCCCCTGTTCACCGCTCATCAGCTACAGACCGGAGACTGGTTGAATGACAAGCTTAAACAAAAGTAATGGGAATAGCACAAAGTTCCGACATGTTTGCATCATTAGTGTAACGTATTACTAAACGCGAATAATAACATTCCCACGCTAAATTTGTCAAAGTCAAAAAATAGATATGAATCTGGATTGTGGTTTTGCAAATTAACAGAAAAAGCACAGAGGCTTTAAAAATATTTAAACTGGGAAACTGAAAGTCCAATTTTCAATTTTTTTATTTAAGCAAATTAACCTTTTTAACCAAACCACATGACACAACTAAACCGAGAACAACCTCAAATAACCAAACATCATAGAGCACAAAGCATTCCTTTGAATACAAATCGACATTGCAATCATATCCAAATTCAAAGTTACAAAATGTCACTATATGCTACATTGAACACATTGAATATTAAGAACAAAACATGAATTCATATGCTCCAAAATATAGTGTGAAGTAAAGCCAGTTTGGGGTTGATATTGAAGTCAAAAGTATGTGGCTAATAACTCAAATTTGAGGACGGAATGATCAATTCAGCACTGCAAATTCTCACAGAAAGGATGTGGAGCATTTTTGAATCGGATTCTTTGTATATAAATATTTCAAGGACATACACTTTGTGTGTGTGTGTGTGTCTACTCGTCATCCAAAACACAAGACGTTTTCCTACGCGACCAAATGTTAACCGTGCAGGGACTCGCAGCACTTGGCCAAACGGCAGCTTATAACAAAGCCTCTTAAAAACGGCGGCGTCCCCTCCACCATGCCAGCAAATAAGACAGTAGTTTCAGGCTTTAAACTTGCGTTAAAGCCTGAGCGCAACCACATCCCCCAACTGCCTGGTTGAGCCCATGGTGGTTGGAGAGGTGGGGGAGGTATCTGCCCATCTCCTCCAGTCTTACGAGCTGATAGGGGTCGTGCCTTAATCGTGCTTGCCCTTCCCTTTAGGTGCGCCTTCGTTCCAGGCCACATAAACAAACAAGGCCAGCACCACGTGCACAGCGAGCACGGCAACGATGGCTGCATAGAAGTAGCTGTCAGAGCTGGACAGCTTCATGGAACCTGAGAAAACAGTGAAGAAAAAGCATCTTCAATGGGAAAAAAGGGCCAAAGGTGTCTACGTCATCTTTCAAATAAACACTGTGTCAGTTGCCACAAAATGCTGCACTAAACGCTTGGTACCACGTGTTCAGTGCGAAAGACGCTCTGAGGGCACTCTGCCGCTGGTGCAGATTCATTCATTTAAATTATCATGATTTTAAATCATTTTAAAAATGTTTTTCATCATGTGCAGCTAGTCATTCCGATTACATTATTTTTTGCGTTGATAAAAATAGTGACACAGAAACAGACTACAAGTCATATCAACCTCAGCCGGTGAAATTGAGCTGCAAAGTGACGGCCCCACACGTGTCACTGTGTGACAGGAGTGACGCACTACGGATCAAACGTGGGCTGCACGTTTGTTTCACTTTGTTTGCTTGCGTATAAAGAATGCCGTTAGTTCCCAGAGCTCTTTAGTGGCAAAACTATGTCAACGACGGCTTGAGAAACACTGGATGAGAGTAGCCGACAGTGTTGCTCGCCAGTTCAAAATAATAACATGCTCTCTAAGGTGGCCTTAAATAGAAAAGACATGACGGAAAACGTAACAACGGATGCTGCGGGTGTCCTTAGGTTTTCTTTGCATTCAATGTCATATTAAACGCTATATACAATAAATTATTGTAATAAAATAATGTCCTTTTAAATTAAGATATCAGTTACAAGAATGCATTGATTTGTAGATGTTCTGGTGACAGATTGCTTTATTATTTTCTCATTCTCGTATTTTACTACAGTAGAGAAAAAGAGATAAATAAAATGAGGAAAGACAACTGTTTGTACAGACGGTAATGTCATTACACTCTGTACACTACCATGCATGTTTTATATGTATAGCTATGTTAAGTTAATATATACATTTTACTTGGCTACAAAGTGAAGAGGCTCGTCTGCGGTTTCCTCTCATCTGCACCAGAGGAGGTAAATCAGGTGACTCCACAGGGGCCGCCAGGTGCGAACCTTACCCTCAAAGAGGTACGCCTTGGTGGCAAAGTACAGTCCGATGGGCAGCGTCACCATCAGGATGGTGAAGAACAACAGCGTCTTGAGGGCTGACACCAGGGAGCTTTCATTTCTGCAGGAGTACAAGTTGTGTCAATCAGCCCGGATGGATTACGGGGGGGGGGTGTCACGTGACAACTGTGACGGGTTACATGCTGAACACTCGTGTGCCGGACGTCCTTTGGCGACGATTAATGATGCGTTCAAGGGTTACACCACATGGAATACACGTCTCGTGTAGACTTGCTGAACGTCGTACAGGGGGGGAGAGGAAGCGGGGGTGTTTTTAAAACAGACGTCAGCTCAGAGAGGCTAAGCTACGAAGCTAGCTAGCCTGGTTAGCTAGCTCGGTTAGCTAGCTGCAGGTATAAAGCAACGTTATTACTGTTTCCTCACCCCCTGTAATAAGCCGGGGGCCCGGCGTCAGGAGCTGCTCCGACGGATCCGTCCATTGCTGGGCCGATCGGAGAGGAGGTTAAGATAGACGATGGGGAATATAGGCAGTGAATGTTAGCGATTCCCCCGCCTGTGATGTGGTGCACTGCCTCTGTAGCGCAAACGTCTCCTTCCGCATAGGGTCACGGGATTGTCACGTGACCAGGTGTGACGTCAGGTTGGTCTCGCGCGGATTCGTGTCTTTCAGAAATAAGAATGTATTTTGAAATCTAGTTCTATACAGTCTGTCTTTAAATACGAAGGTAACCGTCAACTATTAAGAGATATGTGTCTCCTCTGTTTTTGGTTTTGAGGAGTGACGGTGATTTGAATTGTAATGTCCAGTTGAAGAGTTTTCAAGTCTTCTATTTTTAAGGACTGTCAATCAGGCTTAACAAAGTAAAAATAACTCAATAACAAGTATAGGCTGAGCATCCAAAATGTCCCCGAAATAGAAGCAACAAAAAGTACGTAGTAAAACGCAGGCTTCACATTATTATCAAAATGTCCCCTGGGGAAAAAAAAGATACTGTTCTTGCCCTAAAGCAATGTCCGATTGTCAATAATCTTGTATAGGCTACATTTCTAAAAATGATTTATCAGATGTTTATTATTTTTATATATTTTGTGTGGTGTTTTATTTGACAGTGAGTGACAAAGTGACTACAAACATTAAGCTTTAATGTATTTCACCTAGGCCCCAAAAATATTTATGTCTCTTTCTCTTTCTAAGAGTCGTTTTTCTCTCCACTTCTTACATGTTGAAGTAAAAGACACCTGTGTGGTTGTATGTAGTGTATGTAGTCGGTTTCACTAGACATTTTATATAGTTCGAGCTTGATTGCAAAAAAAGCAAGGTCAATTTGGATTCATCAGAGGTACTTTTCATTGTAGCGAATGGTCGAATCAGCATCACATCCCAAGTCAGTCACACTTTGACATGTTCTTTTTGCACAGTTTGTGAGTGAAAATGAAGCATGCCACTTTCGGAGAGGAACACATCAGCTTTACATCTGTAGCCATAGTGTTAGTCCCACACATGTTCCCATAACCATGCTCCAAAAATAACAAAAATATGGATGTAAGCTTGCAAGTCATTGAAGGATCATTTGAGAGATTTATGTGTCATGTCTGCGCGTGTGCACTACATTTCTGAGTAATTTATCGCTGCCATCCATTTCCTGATTTGATAGTAGGTGTAAGAGACAGACATTTCGTCCATTTCGTCCTAACTGTACATATTGTCGTGGGGCCGCCTCTGTTTCTTGCTGTCGTGGTGTCAAGGAGTGGCACTTTCTGCTCCAGTTGGCTTTGTTCTCATCGGTATCACGCTCAGCAGGTTCCACAAAACACATTTCATTTGAAAAGACTGACAAAGGTGAACCAGTCAGAGCCATTATGAAAAATCCAACGATGTGTTTTAAAAAAAGGATCATTTTACCCAGTTTCACTCTAATTATTTAAGAGCACATGTTGACAGAACATGTCCTTATTAAATAGGTTTCTGTAATTGATTGTTGGATGAACCATAGACTGATATTTAATAAGAATAATGCAGCATTTGTTGTTTTGTTTGATGATTCCCTTCGGAGAGAAATAGTGACTTTGGGAATTGAGTTGACTTTTAACACTTAAAACCCAAAACAGGTATTTTCGTATTTTTGTACGCAGATACCTCTGTCTGTATCAATATCAAACTAAAGTGTGTTTATCGGGCGCATTAGGCCTGCCATTATTGTTTGTTCAACAAAAAACAATATATTTTCTCAATTTTAATGGATTGCAAGCATTTTTATAAATAAACACTTTTTCACACTGAATTTCACACTGACCTTTTTTTAGAAACAGGTCATGCTATATATTCAAAAATTCAAAATCTTTCCTCATCTTTTCTCATCTTTCCATTACTCTTTACTTTTCTGTTTACCTTGGAAACAAAAGCAAAACAAAACATTATGGTGGCAATATGACATTTAATTAAAAGTTGTATCGTCAGTAGAATAACACTGTTTTTAACCGGCTAACGCTTCTTTGTTGCAAGTTCATCTTAGTACTAAATGGTCCTTGCACAAACACATTGACCTTCGACCTTCCAGAAGTATTTCCCATGAGTCTCTCCGTCCTGACTCCCCTAGCTGTGCCTTTTTCATTCCATGTGTCACTAATGCTCAATGTCAAACATGAGGCACCACACTCCACACCACACCTGTTGTTTTGACCCAGTGACGGTGCCAATGTGACTAAATGTAAATGTAGTTTCCATTCCAAGTGTAGAGTACAAATAGAAAACACTTTGTCTGCTTTTACAACTGCTGCTAAAAGTGAGAGGATTGTTTTTTGCATTTTTCTTTGCATGTAAAAGTATAAAAGTAATAAGGTATGTATTCAAGCACTTTATTTTGCTACATGTAAAATGTTGTGGTAGTAGAATAATTGAATTTTATGGAACTTTATAATTTGTTTCTACTTCATATTCAGATACAGTATATTAAGAAGTCTTCGAGGAGCATTGTCAAAAAAAAACTAAATTCTGAGAAAAAAGCCCATTCCCTTTAGATTTAGATTGTTATCACTCTCATGCACAAGACAGGGGTTGAACAACTTGCTTGTGAAAAATATACATGTAAAAACGCTTTAGAGGACACAGCCAAGCTAACTAATATGTAACAAAAACGAGGGCTTCAGAGTTAACGTGTTAATTTATGCGATTATTGTGGCCGAGAGAATTCAGAATTCTGTCTCCATGATTTTCAAATGTGTCTAGTTTTGTGTTTAAAATAGAATTAAACAACTATGACTGGAATACACGCCTTTTAAAGTTATTACTCGTTAATTTATAAGATTTAGTCTTTAGAATAAAAAACAACTTTTAATTGTAATTAATGAATTTCAAAATGTGAGATATATGAGTTAATTTTTCTATTTAGTGTTTGGCAGATTATATAGCAGATAATATTGCCTTTTTTAAAGGCAACCCTCTCACTTGTAATTAAGTATATTAACATAGTTGTGTTTGTACCTTTACTCATAAGATTCAAGTAATTATTTCCCCACTGGCATCTGTCAATAAACAAGGGGCAATAGGGACATTTTTTCAAGTAGAAAAACGTAAACGTAAACATTTACATTTCATATGTATATATATATTATGCAGTGCTGTACACTACTCAGTGTAAAAATAAAATTAAGGTATTTGATATAAACTATCACCATCACCCACATGTCCTGCTCTCTCTCCAAACACCTCCTGGTAGTATTGTGACCCACAGCCCATTGAGAAATGTAGGAACGCATCACATGCATGAGGACACAGGCAGTGCTAAACCCCGTGAACAAACCCATTTGGAAACTCGCTATCGGGGCAGCAGGCTCACACTGCTGTAAAATGCACTGATGTGCAAGAGCTGTAGAAATTCCTCCGTGCACAGAAAGCCCTTCTGTGCACGGAGGAATTTCTACAGCTCTTGCACATCATTTGTCTTCCTGTAGTGAGGCAATAATCATGGCATTCTACCGTTGCACCGTGTAGTGCTTCACTCTTGACGTGTTGTGGAAATAATCTTCATCTCGGCAGTCCTTGAGAAGGACAATATATTCTCACTGCTGCAACGTGATGACCGCAAATGCACTGCGCGGTTTTGAATGATATTTGAACATAATAAGTCGGGCCTCGTATCTGACAACTTGATCTAATTTATCATATGTAACTCCGGCAAATAATTGATACTAACGATTTATGGTGTGCCTCGGCTGTTGAAAGCCTTGAGCTCACCCTACAGAGGAACCAAGGAGACAGTACGTGTGTGAATCGAGCAGACTGGAGTCAAAGCATAGATAGCTCTGTCCTTGAACATTCAAAAATAAAAATTCCTCCACAAGGCTTTGTTATTCATATTTCATCACCGGCTAAACTGCCAACTATTTATTGACAAAGACACTATATATCATAATCAAAAGCGATCCACCATTGGTAGAATTATCAGGAAATGTCCTTCAGACCTGACTGTAGCCCAACACTCAGTGGACAAATGTAGTTAATTATCCCCTTGTGTTAGAAAACATAAGAGCACATTTACCTAAATGTCAAACAATTCCTTGGGAGATAAATAAATGTGGGCGGAATAAGCATTAAGAGGAGAGAATGGAGATAGGTTTGGTAAGGAGATGAGGATTAGTCTGTGACTCGTCAACGTGGTAGAGCCGTCTCTGTCGTATTCCCTCAAGGCCCTTTAGCCACTCATCTGGAGCTGACCTGGCACTGGCGTGTGGGCTGCTTCTTTCTTCCACATCAGAGCACTGTCTTGTAAGATTGCGAGATGGATTGAACAGCTTCTGCTCTGCAACTTGACAGCCCGCGATCCATCAAGGATTGACGTTCCACAATCGTCCATACAGAGTTTCATCCGGGCACATATCGGGCAGCCTGACCGGGCTTAGCTGCAGCAAAGCAAAGCAGGACAACAACAAAAAACAGGACACTGATATGAAAGTAAATGTTGTGCAGAACATATTTATGAATCCTTTGAATTAGACATGGTGCATGTGCAATCTCTTTAATATTCCAGTAGCAGAGCATCATATCAAGAATGCGTCAGATTGACATCTTGGAGCCTCCACGTGAGGTGAACTGCTCACGGTTTGTTTGTCGGGTTGAAGTTATGCTGGGAGGCTGTCAGAGCTCATCTCGGCGAAGGTGACGTGTGCTCAGGCGCACTTGCACTAACACGTAATTGCATCTCTGGCTCCTGATGCGTATCATGTCCCCCGGCAATTTAATAAACAAGGAGGATAGCTGTACTCATCTGTTCATCTTCAAAATGTCTAAATCATCCGGGGTCCAAAAGGGGATGTCTGAGGCTTTCATAATTTTGTCCTATAAATTGGTCCAGCAGTCAACGCAGTTAAAAGACAGTTTGGCTTTACTGAAACATTTAAACTGTGAGAGAATCCAATTTTACTATCAGAAGGCACATATGCTTCTATTAACACAAGTCCGTCCATTTCTTCACACTGGGCATCATGGCTCAGAAGTCAAGCCTGAGGGTGAAACAGCATCATAATGAATGAATGTAGGCTACATTCCCAGCGAGAAGGAGCTTGAGATATTTCTACAAACCAAGGATGACATATGGAATGCAAACGTCCTTAATAAAAGTTGCAATATGTCAGATACAGAGGTACTTTGAAGTAAAACAACAAAGCTTTAGAATCTTCCACCATTAATGCTGCATTTACGAGCAAAGAGATAAAGTGGGAAAATACATTTATTTTATTTACCTTCTACCATCGATCTTTGCAAATATGCAGTGAGTTCTTCTGGTGCACACAATGTACGGATGGTGGGATGTGGAAGTCCCTCATTCACATAACAAGCTATCCAGTGCGAAGTGAAGTGACTTAATGTCTTTTGCCAAATACTGTTACCTGAATATGTGTTTCTTGTTTTTTTTTTTTTTTAAATAGAGTGCAGAATTACAAAGACAGCACAATGTACAAGGGATCAAACTGATTGTTTTTCAGATCCCATGAAAGGCACTGGGTAAAATATGGCACAGACCCGCAATCAGGCGACACAGAAACTTAATCTCAGTTTCCCAGCAAAACGTCAAGATTATACATTTATCTCTGCTACATTATTGTTTGTAAAAGCAGGCAGGGGCTTACTCTTCAGTCCCTCTGTGCCACACTTGGAGGTCTCCATGAGAAGCAAACGTGGGATACAAAGACCAAGAAGAATTGTCTTGTATTCTTTGCGGAAGTTTTGGTTTAGCAGTCCATATATGACCGCGTTGAGGCAACTGTTAAAGTATGCCATGAAGTAGCTCGTGACAAAGAGCCACTCAGGTATGTTGGGCGCAACTCTCTCTGGGTTTATAGCCACTGCCAGTCCTATGAGGTTCAGCGGAGCCCAGCATACTGCGAACAAGACAAACACCACAAACATCGTCAGGAAGTTCCTCATATCACTGGGTTTCAGTTTGGTCCTTAGCTCCGGTTTCACCCGACGTTTCACTTGGATCACCAGCACCCATATCCTCATGTAGCAGTAGGACACCACCGACAGCGGGATGAGAAAGTGAATGACCACCACTGAGATGGTGTAGTACGAGCTGACCGTCTGGGCGAAGGTGCAGGAGTAGACGCGTGGGTCGTACTGCAGCGAGCCGACGAAGAAGTTCGGCACTGTGGCGAGTGCGGTCAAGAGCCATGTGAGGCCCAGGTAGCAGCAGGTGTTTCTCAGACTGTACAGCCGGTCGTAGTGAAGGCTGTGGCAGATGTAGCAGTATCGGTTGATGGCGATGGCCGTGATGTTGAAGATGGAGCCGATGACGCTCAGGCCCATGATGAAGCCGCTTGCCTGGCAGTGCAGGTCACCCATGGTCCAGTCATTGTGGAAGATGGCTGTCAGGACCAGAGGGTAAGGGTACAAGGCCACCACCAGGTCTGCCACGGACAAACTCACCACGAAGATGTTGCCTTGAGAAACAGAAGAGGTGACAGAACAAGACATGACCCAAAGTGGTGAATTACGAAAGCATACAGCACGTCAACGGAGCGTGTCAACAGAGGTCCAACTGGGTTTTCCATTGTAAAAGAGCAGCTTCATTGTGCCCTCTGGGGCTCATTTTGATGAGGCATTTGACACTTACTCTCCACTGCACTGAACAACAATTTCATTTATTCTATCTCTATGAATGGTAAATATAACTATCGACATGGGTTTGGTACAGATATCCTTGGTGCCCAGAGGATGAATCCCACTGACTTTCTCTCTTGTGGCCCCATGAGATTCACATTTGGGGTTTTTGGTGAACTCTTTTTTTGGATTACCATCACTAAAAACACATTCATGTCCCACTAATCATTCATTGTAAAGATTCTGGTGATTGAGTTATCATTTTAATATCTACAGTACTTTGGCTTTGGACCAGATACCTGCTAAACTAACAAGAGTACCATCGGCATCAGCTGTAGTTTCAGTTTGGTGCTAATTAACAAACAATAGCAGCCTAATACGCTAAACTGGGATGGTATTTATTGAACCAGCTTAACATCAGTTTTAATCATTTTTTAATCGCCATTGCGAACAAGTTAGAGCCGCTTGGCATGGCTTCTTCGTCTGGTTTTTAAACTATGAATTTATTTCGCAAGTCACACTTGCAGGTCGATTCCAATAAAATTCATCAATCAGGTTGTTCAATTGAGCTCACAATAACCAGGATAAGTTTTTGGAAGACGTGAATCATAGAAAATGACATCCGATATTGTTAACGTGCAGCTGCGCTGGGTGCGAGTGGGCGGATAAAACAATAAATCAAACTTTAATGTGTAAAATTAAGACAATAGGAAACAAGCGCAGTGAAGCCACGATACAATATAAGTGGTGTTCTGTAAATGACTCATCACCTTCCCATAGGTCTTGATTTGATATTGTGCAATAAAGGGCCTTTTGTGTCTGTGTGTGTGTGTGTGTCTGTATGTGAGCTTCACATTTTTTAAGAGTGAAGGTTTGTGATGAAGTGGAGATTTTTGCAGAAATGACTAGTTTCTGTCTGCAGAAGTTAAACCATGTTTTTTGTTTTATGTACTGACACACATCTTTTTTAATGATCTCCATTTAGAGTAGTATCGAGCAAATCAAAATAAACCTGTAGGCCTACTGAAGGTTAATCAGTATTATTATGTTTCATGTCATTAATAACTTCTTTCCCATTTCTGGCGCATCATTACATCACTGGTAAGAGTATAAATATTTGGGCTTTCTCTAAATAATCTCAGCTCATTTTATAAACATTGTTTGTCAGACATTGGGGTTATTCAAGGGTTGATATAACATAAACTACCAGCTGAAGTCTGTGAATGTGAAGGTGCTAGACTCTCAACAGCTCAGCAGCTGAAACAACAGCTTTGATTGGCAGATATGACGGGAGTGGATTTGAAATTTATGTTGGCCATCAATCCTCAATCCCGGCACCTCAGCGGCCGCACCTCTACAGTGTGTCTCATGTCAATTTACTTGCCTGAACTTGATTGAATGAATGGTAATGAGAACAACAAAGAACATGCAACATCATAATTATGTCATTGTATTCCTGTCATTGTGATCCGTTCTAACTTTTCTGTTTTATTTTTAGAAGAAAGTCAGCTGTCAGGTGGAGTGTTTTCCCTCGTGTCCGACGCGGGTATTTGCCGGCATTCGCTTTCTAAGCTACGCAAAACAGCCCGAGCCGTCTCTCGGGCCCACTGGGATAAAAATAAAAGCATTTGCTCTTTATCCTCGAGTCAGCTCACTGGGCAAATCTGTCAGATTGTATTTGTGACGCTCACAGTGCTCGTCGTGTGTGTTTGTCATTGTGCAGCGTTTTGAATCCTCGCTCGACATCACGCGGCTCAGTGCTATCAAGTGAGCTAGTGGGACGGGGCCTGCTGCAACCTCGCGGCTCTCCGAACCCTCTCAACTTGGCCGGCTTGATGCTCATCACACCAGAACTCGGCATCGTGAACCATTATTGTTTTAGTGTAAAACAGCTGAACAACAGCGCTCTTGCCCGCTGACATCTATGGGAGCTATTATTATCATGGAGTGTGGCTTTAGAACCATAGAACCTAACGGCCGATTGGTTGCGGCCTACAACTTCTCTGACAGCATCGGCCGTGTCAGCTGAGTCTCGCCGTGAGTTTCCCCCCCCGAGAGTTGAGCGACCACCCTGTAAATCATCCTGGTGAGTGTCTGTCACATATCTGTCACATTTTGTGGCAAATGAAATATAAATCTAAACAAAACACACAAGGAATTATTCAGCTCTGGCGGAAGGGAACAAGATATATAAACCAACATCATCCAGCCCACAACAAGGATGAAGCATTATTTATGGAATGAAGACCTGCATATGTATAATTATTCACTCGCTATTCAACATATTCATGGCACATTTCTTAATTTTTACTCAATAGGTCTGTATATTGACTCACACTCACCCCCCCACACGCAACCCAACACTCGCCGGCCTCTACAATAACACAAAATAAGACAATATCTGGACTCCGTAACTGAGACTTTCCACTTTATTATTTGGTGTGTTTAAACATGTGTTTATCTAAGTTTTGATGGGGATTATATGTTTTATGTTTGAATACAGCGGTTTTCCCTGAACAGATGGGCTTCCTGATTTGGTATTAGATTTAATTTACATTATTAAAAGTAAGACAGGGAATAACCTGGGTTATTTGCCTGTCTGGCGCCCAACCTGTCCTTCGTTTTAAACACGCACCCCTACGCTACAACAATTAGGTATTGACGCCAAGTGAATTTTTAGTTGGACAAGTTGCATGGCAGCGTGATAAAACTGTTTTACAAAGATTTATGTTCCATTCTAATGCCAAAACCACCTTCTGTATCCCATTACCTTCACTGCTCATGCAGGAAACGTGATATACTGCGCTTTGATTTACTCGCCTACACTTTGAAAGACGTGCGTAGGATATATGTAGGACGGACAGTATCTCTTGGATTTGGCTGCACACCAGCAATGTGAGGATTAAATTAGACCTGGTCACTCTCACCATCATGAATAAGCAACAATAACCTTTCGGCAAGGGCTTTTGCACTGTCGTGACCACTCGGGAAACTCATCCTCAACGGGCCAGAGAATTTTACGGAAGAAGTTTCACATTAAAATGACAAAAGCTGCCTTTTGGTGATGCAGGCCGCCACGGGACCGGCCAAAAAACATCATGGTCACCGTCAAAGGCCATCTACCAATCAGATCTGCCGTGTCTGAGAAGATAAGACTCAAAGGCCCTGGTGGGCCCATGGTGGGCGCCACTCCAGACACCCAGGGATTATAGTCAAATATGAACATTTGAATAAGAACAGACCACTATTCAAAGAAGAGATTGGATGAAATTGATACATAACCCTGTATTTACCTTATCTAAGTGTGCTTTGGTCAAATAATCCCAATCGGATAGATATTCCGCCTCCCTGTTGCCCACAGTAGACAACCGGAGGGCAGGTACTCCTTTTTGTCGGGGAGGGAAGACACGTTTAATGTGGGGTGCGGCAGTGGGGATCCCCGTGGATCTGAGCGTTCAGTTTAAATTGGCTTCTGGTTTGACGCACTAACCACTGACTGAATTCGCCCCCCCTCTGGAGACTGCGCTTTTTAGGTGGTATTTATGATCGCAGGGTGACTGAATAGATGTGACACATGATTTAACTAAATTCAATCTCCAAACCTTAAAAAACAGCACAGCTCCTGACATGGAAGTGCTTGTGCACACACATGCACACTTGCACACAGGCAAGTTCATTCTTTCGTTATTACCTCCATCTGCTCCCCATCGTAGTTTTCTTTTGCTCTCTCTCTCTCTCTCTCTCTCTCTCTCTCTCTCTCTCTCTCTCCCTCTATCTCTCTCTCTCCCTCTCTCTCTCTCTCTCTCTCTCTCTCTCCCTCTCTCTCTCTCTCTCTCTCTCTCTCTCATGAGTGCATTTTCAGAATGTATTTTTAGTATGGTTAAACCCAGTGGGAAACTCTAACGTTAACCTCCATTGGCAGTCCTGTGCCACGCTCCACCCTCTGAAGATTCACTGGATTGATCATTTTACATGTGCACACTTGAAAGAACCTGCAAACCTTTTTTTTCAAAACAGAACATGTGGGACCAGCTCTGGAAACACATGAAGATATTGAGGACAAATTCATTCTCTCAGATGATATAGCAGAATCTTTACAAAATGTGCACACATGCAGGTGCACATTTTGGGGAGTGTTGGCATATGAGGAAGCCGAGAGGAAAGGTGCCGCTGCAGTGTGTTTGGAAGCAGACCTGCAGTCTGAACGGCGTGTGATGGAGAGAGGGATGTGTTCAAACCCGGCCTCACACACAGGCTTCCATTACAATATATGTCTGAGTGTAGACTGTAAATCATACATTGTACCTCACTATATCACACATCAGTCCCAGATATGTTATTGTACTATATTGCACCTAACCCAAAGAAGCTATCTATGACAAAAACTGAGTTTTATGGACACGTCCAATGAAGTATAAGGGTGACATCACTAATCACTGCGGTGGCTGCAGTCCACCGGCACAAAGAGGACTACTGAACGGGCCGTTTGGCCCTCTTGTTCGAGACCAGTCGACTGTGGAGATTTTGCAAACCAGATAATCAAATCATTCTTTGGGCTCCTAAACTCTTCAGCAAACAACTTTTGGCTACTGAGTGCAGGACCTCATTGGGTCTGTTATGTAATGTATTGTGAAATTGTAATTTAAAGCTAATTATTCCAAACACATAATGATCTAATCCGCTTGCCTGGTTTGCACTGTGTTGTGATCACTGAGTTTAGTCTTTTTCCTAACAGCAGGCTTTCTTGACTCTTACCTGTAGAGAGCTGCTGGGTATCATGGTACATGGTCCTTTAACTCCCGTATACGTTCAAGGCAGCAAAACGCCCCACAGTTTTGGTTTTATACTATTTCTTCTGTTTCCAACATCTCAGTATTCTATTTTGTTATTTTTGGAAAACAAAAACATGAGGTTATATCGTTTAAATACATTTTTCTATAATTCTACCAGGACAAAATGATGTGTCTTACGACTTCTTTGTGTGTAATTAACCCGTGTGACTGTTTCTTAGAACATTTTCTTTCCCAGTATGTGCAAGACAACAAAATGGCTCAGAAAATCAAAATTTATTTTAAATTTATTTAGGAATGATAAAAAAAATCCATAGAACGATACATAGCCTATTTGCTATATTAATAGACTCATTTTTAGAGTATAATTTAAGTTGAAGTTACATTGTTAGCGCATGCATAGTCAACATTGACAGGGAGAATAAAACCCTGATCTCCAAATGAACTATTTGTTTCACTGAGTACATCACATCTCCTCCATTCAGCCCAAAATGTACTGCACAGGCCTTTAGTTTAGGCAAAAATAAATTAAATAATCAACGTACGGACTCATTGAATGGAGCATGTAAATGACAGGAATTGAGTGATGAATACAACAGCATTCCTCCCCATGGCTGCTAATAATTCAATGGAATCTCATTTAAGTGGGAGCGGGAATCATCTGGGAAGGAGAAGCAATGGAACAACGCCAGATGGAGGAGAGAAGGTTTTATCATTTATGAAGAGATATGAAGACAGACAGGCAAATCTGTGGACGCTTCCCCCCCACTCAGACTGGAGGCTCACTTCAGATAGCAGCCTGATTGTCAAGCCCAGAGCAGAGGTCACAAGCTACAAGTTACATTACATAATGAGAGTTGTGAATGAAGAGAGAGGGGACGCAATAAGGCATCGCAGAGGTCATTCAGATGGACAATTCTCGTTTTTTTTGTTTTCAGACAATTAAAGAGTCTGCTTTTGAAACACATTTTTTTTAATTATGAAATAACAAAAACACATTCATTCATTTTGAGGAAATGAAATGTACAGTGTGTGTCTGCATTGGCCTAAATTAGACACCTTTCCAAAAAAACACGCTCTGTTGCGTCTTCATCTCTCACCTGCGTTCCTTAGCTTCTTGTTCCTGTACACCGACAGGATGACCAGCACATTGCCCAGGATGTCTACCACGATGGTGAAGATCAGCACGCTGGCCAGCGTGCTGGACAGCCCGGTGGACGAGGCGCCCGCCCGGAGGTCGCTCTCGTTCCGGGACGGACAGTCCGACCCGTTTAGCCCCACCGCCTCCCCAACATCCAAACCCAACTCCATCTTTCCTCAGGCTGCGGCGGCCATGGCGGGAATAATCCGATGTAGGGTGCAGCTGGAGAAGAAAAAAAAAAAAAGATCTACATACCCCAAAATTCCCAAATGTTCTCAACTGGAGGGAGTGTTGAACTAACTCATCCCGCTGTGCCTCCGGAGTGGTGGGAGGAAGAGGCGAACTCTGGCATATAACCTGGATATTAACGGACTGCACGCGGGGGAATTTAAGAAGTTCATTTCAAATGGGATAAAGATGCCAAGGGCTCCAGTGTCTACCCCTCAGTTGTAGATCCTCTCCGGTCACCAAGGCTCTTCCGTGGCGCGTTATTGTCGAGGAGCCATTTGTGCGCTCACTTGCGCGTAAAGGCAAAGCTCGAAGCGCGGGGCTCATTTACAGAGCAACAGCGATTCCAGTGTCGTTTTTTCTTTTTGCTGTTTGGTCGATGAGGGCAATATTAACGCAATGTCTGTGCTCAATTGGGTCTGTAGCGAGGCTTCAGCCCGGCTGAAGTTTAGTTTTGTGTTACCAAACACTCTTTGCGCCGCGAGTCTTCGGTACCCGGCTCATCCGATAACAACACGTCAACAACACGCCAGGTGGAAGAGGTTGAGATCCGACTAAATGTGGGGGAGTGGAAAGTCGCACCAAGGACACTGTAGCTTACTAATCATTGGTTTAACAACTTGTCACGTTTTTTTTAAGGTTTTATTAGCACAGAGCCTCTTCTTCCATTTGCATGGAAATAGCGCCTTCAAGTGTTCAATAGAGAGCACTGCAGACAGAAAGATGTGCTCACTATGGAATATAGATTTTTGCATATTCTACATGGTTATGTAAAGCTTTGTAAACCAAAGCGGGTGTCCGTCCCTGGTGACCTAAAAGCGCAGGTCCAAGGTTGCCTGCTCGTTTTCTCAATACATGTTGGGGAAGTCAAACGGGTAAAGTACCGACTCGCTGTAACCCCAAATGACGGATTCCATCACTTGTATAATTTTTTTTTGTGCTCACAGAGTGTATAGAGATATTTTTGCTCGAATTACACAAATAAACTGACTGGTCAACATGTTTACAGTAAGATTATTATTATCATTTATTGCTGAATTCACAGGAAGTTTTGAGGAAATGTGTTAGAATTAGAAAAACTTTATTAATGTGCTGCTGCTGCTGCTGTTTTTTTGTTTTGTTTTGTTTTCTCACATAAAATATTTAACCCCTTGAACCATTTTGGCCCATATACCAAATGTGGAGATCTATCTGAGGAAGCTGTTGTTTGCTCACCAGGGATTGACAGTACGATACTTCTACAGTAAAAACCCATTAAAAGGACAACTAAACAACTATGTGACAAACGTATGCAAAAAACTGGCTGCTGAACCAAAATCAAAAATGTTCAAATTCTATTCAAAGTGGTGTCACGGTGTGGTTCACTTCCTGTCTTATTTTGTAGTTTTCTGCCACTCGTGTCCCCGGGTAACTTCACTTCCTGCCTTGTCTCGTCATCCCCTGTGTTCGTCTAATAGTTTCCACCTGTGTCCAATCACCTGCACCTCCCTTGTGTATTTAAGCAGTGTGTCTCCTGTGTCACTTGTCGCGTCATTGTCTTTCGTCTTGGATCGCCGTAGTTTCTTGTCTGTGTGCGTTTGCCACCAGTTCCGGTGTTTTTTGATCCTTGTGACTATTAAAGTCTTTTGTTTGCCGCAAGTCTGCGTTTGAGTCCTGCCTTCCAACCTCACAACCCTGACAGAATGACGCGACCAAAGAAGGGCTCAGCAGACCCGCTGCCAGACTACGGTCCGGACTACCTGGACGTAAGGAGTCCCTTCTGGCAGCGGAAAACAAACTGTGTTTTTGGTCCCAGGAGCTATCAGCTCGCCTGCCTCGAGCTCCGGGACCTCCTTAACCCTAGGAGGAGCAAGCGGAAGAAGCGATCTCCCGTTCCCGCTGGGCTGCCGCAGCGATCTCCCGTTCCCGCTGGGCCGCCGCAGCGATCTCCCGTTCCCGCTGGGCCGCCGCAGCGATCTCCCGTTCCCGCTGGGCCGCCGCAGCGTTCTCCCGTTCCCGCTGGGCCGCCGCAGCGTTCTCCCGTTCCCGCTGGGCCGCCGCAGCGATCTCCCGTTCCCGCTGGGGCCGCCGCAGCGTTCTCCCGATCCCGCTGGACCGCCGCAGCGTTACTCCCGTTCTCGCTGAGCCGCCGCAGCGTTCTCCCGATCCCGCTGGGCCGCCACAGCGTTCTCCCGTACCCGCTGGGCCGCCGCACCGTTCTCCTCGTTCCCGCTGGGTGCGCCGCAGCGTTCTCCCGTTCCCGCTGGGCCGGCCCGACTCTCAGCCGTGCCCCCGACCCCCGAGCCAGCGCCACGTTCCATGCCCCCGACCCGACCAGTTCCGGCGCCACGCTCCATGCCCCCGACCCGACCAGTTCCGGCGCCACGCTCCATGCCCCCGACCCGACCAGTTCCGGCGCCACGCTCCATGCCCCCGACCCGACCAGTTCCGGCCCCACGCTCCATGCCCCCGACCCGACCAGTACCGGCCCCACGCTCCATGCCCCCGACTCGGCCAGTCCCCGCTCCGAGACTCAGGCTCCCTCCCTCCCATCCCATGGTCCTCTCCCACCCTCCCGTTGGTGATTTGAGGGCCGTCTGGGATCCGGCCCTTGAGGGGGGGGCTACGGGGTGGGTTATGGGGGGGGCTGAGCCGCCGCCAATTGCGGAGGTGTTCCGTGTCCCCGAGCTGGAGCAGACTGCGGAGGTGTTCCGTGTCCCCGAGCCGGAGCCGACTACGGAGGTGTTCCGTGTCCCCGAGCCGGAGCCGACTACGGAGGTGTTCCGTGTCCCCGAGCCGGAGCCGACTACGGAGGTGTTCCGTGTCCCCGAGCCGGAGCCGACTACGGAGGTGTTCCGTGTCCCCGAGCCGGAGCCGACTACGGAGGTGTTCCGTGTCCCCGAGCCGGAGCCGCCGACTACCCAGGAGGTGTTCGTTGTCCCCGAGCCGGAGCCGCCGACTACCCAGGAGGTGTTCCGTGTCCCTGAGCCGGAGCCGCCGACTACCCAGGAGGTGTTCCGTTCCCCCGAGCCGGAGCCGCCGACTACCCAGGAGGTGTTCCGTGTCCCCGAGCCGGAGCCGCCGACTACCCAGGAGGTGTTCCGTGTCCCCGAGCCGGAGCCGCCGACTACCCAGGAGGTGTTCCGTGTCCCCGAGCCGGAGCCGCCGACTACCCAGGAGGTGTTCCGTGTCCCCGAGCCGGAGCCGCCGACTACCCAGGAGGTGTTCCGTGTCCCCGAGCCGGCGCCGCCGACTACCCCGGAGGTTTCCCGTGTCCCCGAGCCGGCGCCGCCGACTACCCCGGAGGTTTCCCGTGTCCCCGAGCCGGCGCCGCCGACTACCCCGGAGGTTTCCCGTTTCTCAGAGCCTGCCATTCCTGAGACGTTCCGTGCCCTGTGGTCACCGCTCCGGAGCCGGCGAAAGGACCGCCCGCCGGGCCGACCCCCAGAGGCTCCCCGCTCGTCTGGCCGCCCGCCGGGCCGACCCCCAGAGGCTCCCGGGTGGTCCGACCAACGTCTCGGGTTTCCCTCCCCCCCTCCCCTTGTTTCGCTCTAGTGTGAGCCGCCTGGAAGTCGGCCCTTGAGGGGGGGGTACTGTCACGGTGTGGTTCACTTCCTGTCTTATTTTGTAGTTTTCTGCCACTCGTGTCCCCGGGTAACTTCACTTCCTGCCTTGTCTCGTCATCCCCTGTGTTCGTCTAATAGTTTCCACCTGTGTCCAATCACCTGCACCTCCCTTGTGTATTTAAGCAGTGTGTCTCCTGTGTCACTTGTCGCGTCATTGTCTTTCGTCTTGGATCGCCGTAGTTTCTTGTCTGTGTGCGTTTGCCACCAGTTCCGGTGTTTTTTGATCCTTGTGACTATTAAAGTCTTTTGTTTGCCGCAAGTCTGCGTTTGAGTCCTGCCTTCCAACCTCACAACCCTGACAAGTGGCTTCAACATTAAGCTGCAGGGATAAATCCAAGTAATTGTATATATTGTACAGTGACACGTATTATTCTAACTGAACAGAAAAAAGTTCTAATGCTTGTTGCATTCACATTTTCTGTGAGAAGAACAACACTATACTTTTGGTGTGAAATGGATTTATTGTTCATTTCTATACTCGAATATAGGAACCAACATATCTGTCAAGAAAACAAAGCTGCTGAAGAAGAAATTCAAGGGATATCCTCTAAAATTTAGTCAAATTACTTATTTTGGTAAAATGGAGGTTTTTTTTCAACCTTGTGTTTGGATTCACTTGTCAGTGCAAACTTAACATACAAAACCCCCAAAGGGCCCAAACCAAATGTCCTCCCTACGGCCTTAAATCCTAAATCCTCGGGGACTCATACTGACGTCTCATGGTAAATGGATGCATGAATGATGGGACAGCACTTTGCGCTAACATATCACCATAACAATGTCAAAAATATCAAATAAAATTAATTTTATTTTTCTTCCTGATCTGAATGTCTTCCAGACAGAATCAACAGCTTCAGAATGTTACGTTTCATCAATAAATCTACACCTTCTTCAGATTTCATTAGTTGTTGTGCTGCATCTGAAATTCGCCAGGCTGAATGTGCCGTCGTTGTTTTCATTTTTTTATATCTCCATGACTCCATGCAACTCTGTGCTTAATTTAACATTGCATGAATTGAGGGTAAATCCCGTGGGTAAAGTCTGCAGAAATGCTGACTTACGGAGCAACACTGTAAGAAAAATCCCAAATCATGGAACAAGGCTTCGTCCAAACGAGTTGAAGGGAGAATAACAGAGAAGACTCATGGCAAAATCAGGGGGAGTAACTGAAGGCAGGTGTTGATAATCAATGCACACGAACAGGAACTGAAAAGACGGGATTTATTCATATTCTACCACAATAAAACCGGTAATGATGAAGGAATGGTGCAGAAGGGAAAACAACTTTACTTTAAGCCTAGGGGACGTATTTTGCACCTTAGTAGAAAGCGACAGGTCTTAGGGAAGTGCAGACATAAACAAACGCTGGTCGTTCTATTTCTGAAAAACTGGACACACTTTGCGGATTTAAACGTTGGTTTCCACCTCAGGCAAAGATGTCCTCCTCCCAGGATGTCAGCAAACACCGCGTAGGATCAGGAAAATACCTCAGCAGACACGAAAGGCTGCTGGAAAAATAATGTTGGTACTTTTTATGCTTTATGCTGCCAACTGCTTGATATTGAAGCAAATTGCTTAACTAGGCAAGCTATCCATGACTCTTGTGCGACTAAGAGTAAGGTTTTAATTATATTTCTTATAATAAATTAGTTTAGCTAGTGCCACCACCGACACAATAGTGTGACTGCTAAATATGCGCCAAAATGGTCCACATCAGTAATTTTAATTTACAACAAAACTTTGCAGATGTTTAACAATACTGACTCGGTGTGTATTTAGAACCTCCCAGCACTTCTTCAGCATCATGCTAAAACGGCTTTGGAAAGATATGGGCTGTCTTAAGACAACTTATACACAACATTTTTTACTCAAAATGTCGTACAGCTAACAAGTGTGGGCAAACAGCCTGCTTACACACCGGATACCTGAGAAACATTAGAATATCATTGCGGCCGTGTCTAGTTTATATCTACACAGTGAGCTCTACGCCATGTTGCATTTTGTCTCTGCAGTAGCAGATGGACAAACCAAACACTGTTACGTTAGCTGAAGGATCACCTTTTAGGTGAACGCAGGTGTATTCAGTTATTTGCCACCTGCGACCTAACCACTACGTGCTTTCCATCGTCCTTAAGACGTTAGAAAATGAAATGTTATTAACTCAAATACACACATTTGAGTGGAAATCTAGATACTTTATTTTGGTACTTTCTAAACATACTTTTCCTAAAACAAGCCTCAGTATACACTTATCATTCCACCATCAGTACACCTTTTATTGGTTGAATTCTCTATCAATGTATCGTTTTAACCGCAAGCGTTCATTAGCGTACATTGAAATTATGGCTAGGATTGTTAGCATAAGTACTTGGACACACCATGTGACACAAATCTAAGGCACTAGAAGTCATAGACTACGGTCCACATATCCTGCTGAAGCACACATACTATACAGCTAGAATAACAGCGTTAACGACAAAATATATACAGCAGGATTTCAGCAAACACATGTGACGCTAGAGAGATCGCATTGAAAATACAAAGCAGGAACACATGAGACGGGTCTTCTTTTTTCAGACCAACCAGAGGAGCTCCTGCAGCAGTCGACGTAATAAGATGAGCGGCATCATAATCTGCGTATGACGAGCATCTCCAGAAGTGATCCATCCTTAAAATGGAAATACAGGCACAATTATGTCCTGGAGGGGCTAATCTCCGATTGGGACCAAAATCTGTGTCCAACCGAGCCTGACAAGGGGACACAGGTGGCATCCGGCAAGGAAAATCACCTCGCCCGTCTGTTTAAACATCTGCACCATCAGGGCCGATATGTTTTGATTACATCTTTGATAGGCCTCCTGCATATTGGACAGCACGCATGGATCTGTCTCTTCAGCTTAAGCCCACAGTCATTGCACAGGCACATGTGTCCACAGGTGTAGATCACCGTGTCCACGTCCTGGTCAAAGCAAATGGTGCATTCTCCGTTTTTTCCAGCAGAGGGCAGTTCTAAGGCGGTGAGAGTGGGAGAGACTGGGAGGCTGAGAGGGGAGCTGGGAGCCGTCACTAGATGAGAAGGGAGAAAAAACCCGAGTTGGAAATAGAACAGACGCAGATGCACACAAGTAACTATTTCTAGAGTATCTTGTATTCCTTTTCAAGCTTGTTTTTTTTAATCATGAGCCACGGCCAATACTTTTTTTTAATCAGATCTTTATTAAACTATTGAAACTTCTAAAAAGTGTTCAGGCTGAAAACTGACGGATATTTCCATAATCAATTAGTCTGCAGATTATGTTCTCGATTATTATATACTTTGAAACACGCACATCGTAAGTTGAAGTTATCTATGTGCCAAAAGTCTTCAATTACTATAATGCTACGACAAGGGAAAGCACCAAATGTTCCCACTTTAGAGGCTTAAAATAATGACTGGGTATTTTACCTTAAAATGACATGATTTATGAAGACGACTGCTGCCAATAATGTTTTTGGCAGTTGACCAATTGCTTACTCAACTAAACTTAGGAGCGAGTGTGTACCCAATCGTCGAGTTATACCTCCAACAATGTCAAAATGTCACACAAGGAGACGCGTCGTCGCCGCTAAAACGTCTTCCCTCTAAAAACCTGTGACCTGGTGGGGTTTCCATGCTGTCGCCATGAGGGGACCTACCCAGAGAGGACTCGGAGGCAGAGGAGGATCTGTTGACGCTGAACGCCAGGTCTGAGTCGCTGTCGTCTGGACTGCTGCTCTGAGAGGTGCTGGGAGATGAGGAGGGAGGACTGGACTGCACGGTTCCTGTGTGGCAAACATAAACACAGATGAACAAAACCCAGATGATCACGTTCACGTAAAGCCTTTAAAGGGGGCCTGTCAGACAACGTGTGATAGGATTCCAATACAGAGTCCTTGAACTGTTTGAGTGGACCAGTGAAGCTTTACATAGATTAGATATGCATGTTTGTGTGACTACGTGTCGTAGAGCGATTTTCTTCTAGTTTCCGCTTCATTATAACGTTGAGCTAATGGGAGTTTCGGGACTTTGAGGCCGATAGGTCACAGCTCTAAAGTGAACAGGCACATGCTACGCACATGCATTCCTTAGTCTGTGAGAAAATAGCTGTAGAGCCTCTTACACTCAATAACAGGCTGATGATAATTAACTTCCATTTGGGGCGTTTATCATTTCAGTTTAAAAGATATTTTGTGAAATATGATTCGCCGGCTCTCGTGCCAGAGTAGATTTCAAACCTATGCCAGTTTGCACATATTCGATACAATTTTGCGTCATTTGAGGATGAATGAATATGCAGATAAGTATTTCTCTCGGCATCTCATTTCAGAACTACATTAATAGACCAATTTGGAATATCGGGTGTCTTGATTCACAACATTCCTCCTCCGTGTCGCTGTTAAATCACTCGGCTTACCGAGTATCCTCAGTCTGTTGACAGCCCCGTGCAGGGTGAAGAAGGTCCACAGGACCTGAGAGGAGTCCACACAGAGCAGCCGGCCACGTCCCACTCCGTTCACCCCGTGGTGCACCTCTCCGCTGGGCAGCAGGCTGAAGCTGAGCACGTCTCCGGAGCAAGGCATGGGGAAGCCCCGGTGCACTACCCAATACTCTTTGCGGTCCAGGAGCACCTCAGGGTCCGCCGGTAAGTCCCCGGCGTGTAGGCTGGCCGGGTCGCAGGAGGTCAGCCCGAACAACAACGCCCCGAAATAGGGAAGGCCCAGGTGGCCGACCTCCACGTACAGAGTCTCACCCGCGTGCAGCGGCCGGTCGCTGAACACCAGAGTCCGGCTGCTGTCCAGAAAGTGGATGCAGGCGGCCGAGCGGTCCGCGGAGAGCACCACGTCGGATCCACGGACGGGGTGGAAGTGCAAGTCGTTGTCCAGCGGGGAAGGAAGGCCCCGGACCACCCTCGGGGTGCTGAATCCGGTGGAGGCGGACGAGGAGAGCGTGGAGGAGGACGGGGTAGGGGAGCAGCAGGGGGTGAGCTGCGCGTAGTTATTGATCTGGAGGTTGGCCATCTTGGCAGCAGCGGCCTGGTTGTTCTCCAGCTGATTGTTGTTGTAGTTGGCCGAGTCGTGGCTGCTCTGGGGCAGATAGGCACTCAGACGGGCCGCACTCAGGCAGCTGGATCCCACACTCTCCGCGAACGTGCTTTCTGTGGTGGAACATATCAAGGAGAAAAAAACAAAACAAGTTTGAGACAAATTATGATGATCTGTCCCGTGTTAGCTCAGGATAGTTCTTTCCGTTGATTTTACCTGTTTTGTCTGTGATTCCTGGGGAAATTCTGCTCTCAGAGCACTCCTGTTTTTATGGGCATATCAGAGGACTGCAACTAATGAATAATTTGCTCTTTTCCCAACTGATTAATTATCTATAAAAAACATTTTTTTAAATGTGTTCGTTAGTCAGTGTTTAATGAGTTGTATCGGCGTGTAGTTTATTTGACTGTAACCAACTACTACTTCCCTTTCTTCCATTGCACAAGATCTCTTAAAGTTTTTGCACAGTTCATAGTAAAGCCGAGGGGCTGACATAAATAAGTCCGGCGTGAGTTGTCCCAGGATGACTTATGATGCATTCCTTTATTACTATTTCTAGTGATGCTGGAGAAGTTGAGTGCACTGACCCCTTTAAAGCTCTTGGGATCTGCTGCTTTGACCAAACATGGCCATAGCTCTTGTCAGACTTAAGATAAACACGCTCCGTGAGTCGGAGAGGGAACCACGGGGGAGAGGGTGATGAAAATAAAGCATCAGGGAGAGAGTGACAAAGCGAAGGAAACGTGATAGTAAGAGAGTGGTGAGCGGTTAAGAGTGAGGCGTTTCCAAGGCGGCTTGATATCCGCGGTCCACATCCTGTTTATCGACAATGTGGTTCTGGTTTTCCAGAGAAACTGGTTTTGTTGCACAGATAGCACAATATTGAGCCACCCCAGGCCTCACTTCCCCCTACGCCTCTACCATTGGCCTCCGCTGCTGCAGAGCTTCACGTCTTCCGTTTTCTGAACGCTCAGGAAGCTGTGAATGTGTTGACTCGCAATAAAAATAGGTTTCCGAGGTCTCAGGGCTGTCAAAGCCATGCTGAAAATACATTGCTTTTTAGCTGACTCCGTTTGAAGTCCAATAGAAAAAATGAGATGCATATGAAGTGCGATGATGGATTGTGTACAAATTCACGACCGGTCAGTTGTGAAATGTGTTCCTCTCGCTTCCCCTTTTCGAAAATGCGACAGCATCTGCTCGTCTTGCTCGACTGCAGTCCTGACCAAAGCCATCGCTACACTGTAGGAGTCATTTTCCTGGGGGGAAATAAACAACAACATCATCATCATCATAAAGTGCCTACCGAGCAGCGTGACCTCCTGCGTGATGCCGTAGATATCTATGATGGCCCAGAGCGGACAGCCGATGCTGAGCCCGCAGTGGAAGAGGATGGGCTCTCCATCGTTGATGCTGTAGAAAACTCGTCCATGGCGGTCGGCCCAGAAGGACAACACGTTGTCCCTCAAGGCCAGTCTCTCGGGCAGAGCTTTGGCCCAGTAGCCGGGCCGCGTCACCAGGTCCGGGCAGGCGTACTTGGGGATGTCTGTAGGGGTCAGTTCGCCGGGGTCCAAACTGGTGAAACCAAAGCGCAGTGCTCCACTCCAGCCGGTGTGCACGCCGCTCAGGCGAAGACGCACCTGACGGAACGCAAGTAATCCAAATTTTAAAAACTTTGGTCTTTTCACCCCCAGCACTTAAAATAGCGAGTGATACAGAATTTAGGACAAACCTTCTCATAGAGGTGGACGGGCCTGTGGCTGAAAGTGATGCCGTTGCAGAAGCTGTTCTTGCGCGTGGCGCGGCGAAGCTGCCCGTCCAGCCGGATGTTCTTGCCTTTGGCGTGGGGGTGAAATCGCGGTGACTCCATGTTGACGCTGACCGGAGAAGCAGACGTCCTTCTCTCCACGCCGGCCCCATTGTTGGAGAGGTTGTAGTACTGCCTGCTGGCCACCGGACGGGGTTGCAGAGTCACATCTGCGGACAGCGACGCATCAAGGGTACAGCGAGAGGGAGAAAAGAAAGCAGTCAGTGATCCAACCTGGTTGACCAAATTAAACGGCAGCGGGGTACGTGAACAGCAGGCCGGCTTTTGTGCGACTCAGGCGAGGTCAAAACAGGAATGTTGGTGACAACAGCTGCTGGAGAAAGAGATGAACAAATCAGCGCAAAACAACTTGTTTGCAAGTGGTCCATGGCAGTTGGGTTAGGGAGCAGACGCCAGTTATGCAGAGAAACCCACAGTCTCGCGCTCTTCCTTCCCGGCGTTGACACCATAAAGCGCCTCTGCTTCTCTTAACAAGTACATTAAATAGCCTCTTTTAGCGTGTGACCCACATTTGCAACTGTCCCAAATCAGTCGCCTTACCACACACATATGGGACATATATTTTATAGAAATAACACAAGATACATTTAGACAAAACCCATGATCACTGGGGAACATAGAAGAGAAATTTGGCTTTTGTAAAATCTTATATTTGAGCAGTACTGATATTAATAACATCGCTGTATCTCTGTAGAAATCAGAAGAAAGTCAATGGCAGATGTGATAAGCCTTCGTCTTATTTATGGGCTACGCACACCCTTAGCCTCCAGCATAAACAAACCCTGAATAGCGCCTTTCATTCCGCCGCAGTTATCTTCAGAAGTAGAGTGAATCACGCTGGACCTAGTCTGTGAAGACACACCCGAATGAAAGGCTTAATCTTTGATCTCATCTTCACGGGAGTCAATGTCTTACTTGGGAAAATAATTTCCATCGCATCGCGAAACAAATTAACAAGGATCAGAAATCAAACGGGAGAAAGTAGACATTTGCTTAAAAGAGATTTGTTTGGGCTCAACATTAAATCAAATGAAAGTTGTAGATGGGTGTTTATGGTGAAGAGACATATTCAAAGGGAGGCATTGTGTCTGCTCGCCTCCAGGGCCCCAGAGTGATTACATTTGTCTTTAAAATTCACTGTGATCTGGTGTAAAGACAATAACTCAGTGAAATGTTCCACAGTTCATTTCCAAAATTAGACATTATCACTGATTATATTCTAAACTATGAAGCAGCAGGAAGAACATCTGTAAGATCTCAAATGATGTTCGGGTGCCCTCCTTTTGCCTTTTGGGATCGTAAAATACACTTTAGCTAAAGATGATGGAGAAAAACAAGTTGAGGATCAGCCAACGGGCTTTAGACTCAACGGTTAAAAATTTTGGTTAAAGAAAAGGCACAACATTTAATTCCTTCTTAACTTGGTGGTTACACACAGTTATACCAAATGTCACTTAAACTCTAGAGGTCGTTTAATTGAAAATTAAATATAGCATACAGGTAACTTCTGGAGAGGAAATATAGTTCACTTTTTCACCGCGCGAGGCAGACCAGAAGGTTGGTAGAGGGACCGTCATAAAAGCTGTGTCATCGAACGACTTTCAGGATGAATTTTTTTTTAATGAATACCAGACGCTTAACGACTTGAAGGCAAAGGCAACATTTGAACTCGGGCGAGAGCTAGTCTGATGCCAGAGATAGCTACTCAGGCCTCCTGCCAACAGCAATGTGGATTATGCTTGTATGACGGACCAGCGAAAGCATGGGAACAGCAAAAGATGGGAGACAGCCAGAAACACATCTAAGAAGCCAGGACTGGAAAGTCATGAGAAATAGCAAAATTACAGCTGAACCACACCAGCAACTTGTTGGGGATGAGAAATGTGGTCATCATGCAAAGCTTAGTCTCGCCGCCATCACACTTCTGCCATTTGGGGTTCGATTATGGGAGCGGTCTCTCCAGATGGAATAAAAAGCGCATCATACGACTGCAGAAGTCTCACTGCCGTGCCAAGGAAAGCTTTTAGAAATGAAAACCTGATTATGTGCATCCGTCTTTGATCAGGAGTCTATTTATTATGCCTCTGGGCTGTAAACGCACTCAGTGAGCAAGACCCGAGAAGTTTAGGGTGCGTTTGGCTTCTGGAAATTGTCCAACATGAATTTGTTGGAAGAAACACCATGTGACATCGCCTGATACTCTTTTTACAGCTGATGACTTCATCACACATATGCCTGCAAAGCGACTATGAACTGTTTGAGATTAACCAATGAATACACCCAGATTGATATATTGTGCACACGTTTAACACGAGTCCAGTAAACGAAGATATTCTATTAATTGTATGTTAATCGAAACCATGCAGAGCCAGCAAGGACCCACGCTACGCCCGCTCCTCTGTGACTAACTGTTCTCAGACCAAACCCTATGTCAGCTGGCACCACATCATCACTGAGTGGGTCCGTTGGGGTGCGTGGGAGGCGACAGACATTAAATCAAAGTGATATGTGGAACTGATTGTCAGGTATTGTCTGGTGTTGCGACTACGATAGATGCTGAGGCCCCATAATCACAGCTTTATGCAAAAACGTTTTGCTGATTATGAATTCACATGCAGGAATAATTACTTATAGTAGCTGCATAATTGTATATGCATTAAGGAGCGATGTTGTAGTTATTGATCGGTTTCTAGTTCAGCTTTTTTGTTATGGAATTCTTATTTGTCCTCATGTTTCTGATGGGATTCATGCATGACTTTGCTGCTGCAATTCCCATTAGGATTAATTAAGTATCCTTCTCTATTCGTGTATGAAGCAATTTTGTATTTAAAAAAAAAGCCCACAATAATAAATAATGTCCGAATTACATGTTGTAAACAAATTTAGTAAGTAAGTCATTTTAAAATCGGACATTTTTTACCATCAATGGAGGAGTTTGTGAATAGTATTTTACAAGTTAAACAATATCAATTGTCAAAAACTACTGATGTCTTTGAGATGATAGATCTCTTACTGTTCCACTGAGAATATTTAGGTGATGGTGGTCATAATTGCCGCCCAACGTTTGCATGCTCTGTTTGGTTTGTTTCTCTTCACTCCAGTGTACGGACATTATCGTGAAGATCTACATAGAGTTCTATGAGTAAAAAGTGCATTCAGAGGGAGCGATGGTCTGGTCTCGTTCCCAGGGAATCACGCTCAACTCCCCGCGATGGGAATTGCGCGCGTCCGGAGCAGCCATGCACGTGTCCCCGGCCATCAAACGGCTCTCGCTCGCACACACATTGCAAGTCTCGTGGATCACACAATAATCAATACTAAAGTCTTACCTGTCAAAGGTTTGGGTGTCGTATTCCCCATTACACCCCGAGATTCCTTGCACCGGTTGACAAGTGAATTCCGATTGCACCGCGTCTGTGCGCATCCATGTATCCTCGGTCTGATGCGTGTCCGCCTGGAGCCGCTCCGATCGGAGAGGATCGGTGCCTTCGATACGCGACGGATCTCCCCGCTTTGCAGCGTGGACGCGCTCTTTTCTTAATGTCAAACCCCGAGCCGCTGCGACAGGCTGACACCTCCGACGGGTGCACAGCAGCCTCCCCCCCCCTCGTCCCCCTCCCCTCTTTGGTGGAGCTCCCCTCTGCACGACTTTAAAGACACAGTAAGCAGAGATCCCTCTCAAGAGCGATGCCTCTGAATAATTCATTGAGTTGTCCACTCGGAGTCTGTGATGGGGCCTAATGAGCGTGTCGCCAACGAGACAAACGTCATGCTTGAGGATGTGTCATTAAAGGAAGAGGGCTCGTCAGCACGTTTGCATGTAGAGGGTCTGGCAGCATGATGCAAACTTTGATAAGATAAGATTGAGAAATGATTACAAAATCACTGATCATGTTGGGGTTTTTTACATCCTGAGTGTGTTGAAATGAACATTTTGTAAAACTGTTGTTTGAATCATAGATCCCAAGGACCATCACAAATGAATTAACCATCCACATGTTGGACACCCGGACATGGATTGCGCAGTTTTAATAAAAGTCCAAGCACCATATGAGGAAACCCCCTCATTTCCCACCCCATCCTCTGCCCTCCCACAGCCTTGACTGCTGGGCTCCTCTCAAGCTGTTTCCTGTCTTCTTGACTACACCGCTCTCTGAGGAGCCATGGCCTGCAGGGCTTATGTGATGGGACAGCGCGTAACTGTTTAGCAGTGAGGCACGGGGTTCTACACCAGCTATTTTTGTAAACATCCTCATCCAAGAAATGAGAATGAATGCAAATGTAGATGCAAAAGGAATTTTCCTTGATGTCAATGTAATATTTGCGACTAATTGGGATACATGAGGCAGATTAGGAACTGACCTTCTGCTTTGTGTGTCCAGGTTGACCAGACATGACCCGCATCACGCACAGAGGAAAGGTGCCTCTGCAGTTGCCAACATCGTCCATAATGTAACTCTGTGGCCCAACGCGTCTCGTGAGAGACGGCGTTTGGGTGCAGGCGGGCAGGAACTAAATATAACCCCAAAAACAAAAGCATTTGTTTCTACGTCCCCAATGCTGTTTGTTTAAGCAGGATATGGTGGCTCTTTATACAAGCCTTGGGTGAATGGTGTTTAGGGTAAGGCCAAGCAGAAGTGAAATTCCCCCCCCCCGCCCTCGCCATCGCCATCGCCTCTCATGAAGGATCTGCGACAGAAAAGGGGATTAACACAGGAAGCGAGTACGAGGCTGCGACGGAGTCTGCAATCAAGCTTTGCCTGTGAACACAGCAGAGCTGCAGGAACAAGTGCTACTTTCCCTAATGCTCGCTTTACTGTCTGACCGCACAGTGTGGGTGTTAATGAAGGCATAATGATTGCTGCGCTGAATCCATTTCAAAAGGGAAGGAACTGAACGTTCAAGATATTCAGCAGAAATCACCAGATAAAAGTCCTGAAATGAAGCAGAACTGTTACTGTTTCTTTTGCGCCTGAACCTCAATTAACCTCTGTTGAGTTGTCACATCACAAACATGGCAGGCATAAAGATGTTGGCGGGCACGGACAACCGGCAACCTCATCGTAACAACAAGGCTGGGACTAAAATCACAAATATCATGTTATTGGTGATCTTTAGAGGAGGCTACAGTGTGCGTATTCGTTGTCTTTTGGATACGCCCAGTCAGCGGTTTTCTTCTGTTTTGAGTTGAGTTTCATTTGTAGATTTACAATGCAGAAATGAGAGTGTTAAAGTGTTTCTTTAAGGTCACCGGCTTTTCTGTGTTCCCTTTTACGGCAGTGATGACTGAAACAAGTCACGACTTCCCACTGCAGGAAAGAGACATAGGCCTACATTCTGACAAGCCTGTGTGTGAATAGTTAGTATCAAAACGAGTGTGCTTCAAAGTTGGGATTCACACCAACGAAACTAGGTGAAGGACAGTACAACACACTTTAAAAAAGCTGCATCTATTTTTGTTTAACTGGATGTAAAACAGCATTGCTCCGCTCTAAATGAAACTATAATGCATACTGTCCCCTTTTGGGGTATGGAGCGTCTGTGGAGCGGCGATCTCATGAGGGCCCCTACAGCGGATAAAGTTATTTCCAGAGAAGGAGGGCAGGCATGCCTCGTTTTGCTGGAGGAAAGTTGGCCAGCAGCGGTGTAACTGCTGCCATGCGGAGCGGCGCGGCGACTGGGTCTTGGACGTATTTTTCGCTCCTCTTTAAAGGATTGAAAAGCGGTGTAGCAATGCTGAGCAGATGGCTGTTTGGGAGAGTTTGTCCGCGGTGGTCTCAATATCAGAGGAGGGCTGCAGTCCAAACCCCAGTCACTGATCTAATGGTTGAAGTGAGTCATACCCACCTTCAATGTGAACATAACCATCTCCATCGAGCACAATGAACCGCATTCATACAACTGTGTTCTTCTGGTCACGGCTTTTTGTTTCGAGCCTTCACATTTGTTTCCAATAAATGCTGCTGTCTTCTCATTAGGTTGTTTCTTAAAGGAGCAGTGAAGTTGCGGATCCCATCCAACTGAATAGTCCTTTGCTCACTCCTCCGTCAACAACCGCAGTTGGAGGATCCGTCTGGTCTTCAGGCGGCGTAAGAACACAAAGCCCCGTCCTCTCTGTTGGTCCTTGGCTTCTGTAGACGCATGGCAGAGAACATGGAGGACTGAGTGAGGAGGACCTGCTCAATGTGTAGATACTGTGGTCTTATTCTAATGTCAGGTGATTTTGCACCACTGGAAACAAATATTATATTCCAACAGCGCCTCTTCGACAGGCCATTTGAGTCAAGCACCTGCTTTTCGAAAGCACAGAAGGGTCCGTATCAGAGCATCAGTGCAGCATTTGTATTTAATTGGAGCCATTTTCAGGGGGAGTTATTGCCAAGCACTTGGTGCCCGCACAGATTTTTTTCATTTCTAAAATCCTCGGCTCATAGGATTGAGTGCTGTAGCGGTCTTGAGCTGCGACATGAGTGCATGCTCGGTTTCATGTTTGTAATTTCTAGGTTTCACCACTGTGAAGTGAATCAATGGCAAGTGAAAACAAAGCACTGCCAGTGCTTATGGAGTACATTAACACATTGTGTGGAACGTTTTACTCATTTTCTTTTCAGAATTTCAGTCTGTTAATACTTACAAATATTTATGAATACAAACAGAAAGCCGGCAGCGTCTAATATCAGATATATAATACAATATCTACGTGCAACCATATATGTCCAATGAAAATACATCAATAACTCTTTTATCTTTAATCTTAAATCGTCAAACATTGCTCAACACGTCACAAATAAAGAAATGATTCTGACAAAAAGAAGAACTTAACTCGGTGCTCACTAACTAGTTTCCTTCTGAAGCTTTCAACCGTCTCTTGTTGTCAAGTAGAATTAATACTGTAGATCAGATAAACAGTAGCAACATAGCAAACTTCATGTTGCTTTTAATGACTGGATGAATCCAGCAAGTGGAAGACTTGTTTAGGCAAAATATTGTTTCCAATGTCAATAAGTAACTTTTACACTTTACTTCAATTTTTACATTAAACACCTAAAAAGCACAACTGAAAATCGTGCACAGATTCTAATCGTCAAGAATTCATTTTTAATAATTCTTATTTTATTGTTATAGTTTTAATAGTTCTGTCTACTCTTCTTCTTTGAGACAGATTCGTCTCTTCCTGCTGTTAGGCAGGTTGTAAATAATGGTAATTGTAACAGACACGGATGTTGACTGTTATATGAGGAATTTCCTGATTCATTTTCCATTGAAGGAGTCTAACGTAATCCCGACATTACGTAACATGTCGGTCCCTCACATTAAATGACCACTGCTACGCTAACACAATGGAAACTGTCGCGGGGCTGCATTGAAAAATGTTTTGTCGGAATGTCTTTTTAGCTACAATTGAGCATTTCAAAGTACACTGAAACGTCAGTCCTGTGAAGAAAAGGAATTTCAGTTTGTGCATGCAAAAGATGAAATAGGGGCACAGCCCAACTAAAATGTTGTTTTAGGCCTCTCGGTCGGTGGGAGACATGCTAAAAATGGCCTTTCAATCCATTGAACCACATGCATGGACAGTGTTCTTCCTCCATCTGTTCTATTGTCTGGGTTTTCTCTGGGATGAAGGGCGGATGCACCACCGAAGGAGATGCAGGAAATGCTTTCGGCCCAGAACAACATGGCCAACTTCTTTTGCACAGTGGCTTTAGAGACAAGCACGGCCTAAGACAAAATGGCAAAATTAAGGTATTCCCCAATAAATAATTAATAATGTGGCCGATGTTTCTTCAAAATGGTGGAATTCCAGATTGTGATTTAAAAAAAAAAAACCTTTGTTCCACACAAGAAATTAAAAGTATTTAATTTGGAACCCGTTTAATTTGGGGCGACCGTGGTGCACGGAGTAGAGAGGATGCTCCCACTGGGTGGGATGGGTTAAATGCACAGAATTATTATTTCCCCAACGGGATTAAACAAGGATGCTTTCATCTTCTTCTTATCCTTATTTGGTCCTTTTGCGTTCATCTTTTCAGTAACGTGCTTAATGCAGTGGAACATGCAGACACTGTAACAAATTTCTGTAAATTTACGGTGCATTTCTAACGGTATCTTACAGTATGTCATAATAACCTTAACATACAGTTACATTTCCATCCCACGACCAATGTCATGAATAAACAGTTAAAGCTGTCAATTTACAATAATAGCAGACTACCGTAATTCAATTTCATGTTACATATATTTTATGAAGTGGTGAAAATACAAGTGCAGTGAATCACAATCCATCTACATCTGTTGTAGGTTAATGTATTGAAGCCCATGTCAGCCACTGAAAAACAGGTCCTGTAAGTCATCATAATGAGATAGTATCTCATGAGATACGATGATGACTTTGACTTACAGGACATTACTTTACATGCAGCTTTCACTTTTATTCAAAACGCCCATAGTTTGACATTTTATGTGGAGTAATTGGGGGTTAGGTGTCTTGCTCAGGGACACTTCAACTTGGCACAGGGAGCAGCCAGGATTCAAACGGCCAACCTTATGCTGCACAGCACACCCTCCCTATCCCATGCGCCGCCTTCGCTGTCGTTTCAGTGGCTGG